ACAGGTAAAGAGCTGCTCCAACTGAGCACTTGACAAGCTTGTCAGAGCTTGTCCAGGAGAGCGTTTTGGGATTTGTGAAAGATGTGACAGCCAAGAGTGGACAAAAAAAGATAATTTTCTTTATTTTGGCTTTGCATCTATCATAGACCACAAAAGATGAGCCAAAGATATTGGAGTTAATAATGACCCTGCACTGGAATCATTTTGATTGGTAGTGACCAGAATGGACAGGTTAGAAATGAGTAAATCAGAGGGACGGCTCAGGTCGAACAGACTAGAGAGAAAATAAGAGCGGCAGAGCTGAGACAGTTTGAACATGTGCAGAGGAGGGACAGTCGATAAACTGGACAAAGGATGCCGAATATGGAGCTGCAAACCAGGAGGAAAAGAGGAAGACCCCAGAGAAGATTCATGGCCTCTCTGAGCCTGGTTCTCCCGGAGATTTCTTCCTGTTAAAGGGGATTTTTCCTTCCTACTGTTGCCAAGTGCTTGCTCATAGGGAGTCGTGATTGTTGGGGTTTTCTCTGTATTATTGAATGGTTACATTACAATGTGAAGTTGCTTGAGTTGACTTGTTGAGTTGTGTTGTTGTGATTCGGCACTATATAAAGAAAACTGAATCATGATGTGATTTGATACAATTAAAAGGTCTTGTTTATTTTATTAGAAAGGGGGTTCATCAAATATAGGGTATATGTATCAATTTTGTTGTCCACCATTGAACATAAAACTATCTGCTGCGTTATAACAACTATCTTAAAATTACTTATAGTATAATCATTTCTTATTTTCTGTAAAAAATTGAATTGCTACCCTAAGTATTTGTGGGTGAATATAATTACATCATAATTTCAGATTTTGGAAATTATGCCCTTAGCAGGCCCTTATATAAAGTGCTACCAAACACTCTCTATGACGAGTAAGTGTCACAGCAGTGTTTTCTGTTGGATTTTACTTATATTTGATTAAATTCCCCTCAAACTGTGTGTAATTATTTCCTGGCAAAGGCTTTTCCCTGTGAGTAGCAGGATAAGAGAGAACTCCAAAAAAATAATAATGATGACAATGAACTAAAATGAAAACAAAATTACAGCTTCAGGTCCACTGTGAATATTTTGGCTCAGTCAATTTCAAGGTGTGTGACAGATAAAACGACCGCCAGTGAATGGCTTAAGGTAGAAAACAAAATCTCAGTAGCTCAGGCTGTGCTGCATGTGAGGAAGAAGGAGGTGTTACTCAATATTTAAACCTTCAACACTTTTTGTTAGAGACAACAGTGTTTAGGAAGGAAAATAACATCTTAGAGCAAACGTCTAACATTCACAGCATTAATATACAGATTTTTTTCTCCTCTGGTTGCTTTCTGGGTCATGTTTTGACCGTCACATTTCCAGCTGTGTCCTTGGAGGTCCACAACATGACCTTTAAGGTGAACACCCCTCCCTGGCTGTCATTGTGAATACAGTGAGGGACTAAGAATTATTATTAGTTTTAAAGGGCAGCTCAGACCACCTCTATCCTGTGTTTGCAGGCAACTGCGAGCAACAATAGTAACTTAACATTTAAAATTTAACAATCGGTGATGCAGTGTTATTTAATCACACTTGTTAAAAATAATCTTACCATGAAGTGTTTTCCCAAACAGTACAGTTTATTATATTCAACAACCTTATTTCCTAAATGTTTCTGTCTGCAGATCTGTCATGTAAAGCTTTTTGTGTATGGTGAGAAGCTCAAGCCGGTAGTCTTTTTTTCTACATGTGCTTTTATTAAGCACTAAATCAAAATGATAAACATACAAAAATATTACTGATGCTAAAGAATTGTCACGCTGTACCCACTGGGAGTAAAAATAAAAATAAGATGTAAGCGCTAAATGCTGCAGTTCCTCGTATGTTCACGGCCTCGTACAAAAATTGGTTTACGGTAAGTCCATATTACTAAATTCCCTCTTCATGTCAACTTTGAAGGTTAGTTTTTATGTATAATGCTGTACAACCTGTTTGCACTGCTACGAGGCTTAGTAAATAAGATCTGAATAAATAAGGTTGTGGCCACTTTAACTGAAGGTGTTGTATGTAATTCAAATATCTGCTGCTGCAGGGGAAGACACTTCAAGGCAGGATTCACAAGCTTCAGCTCTTAAATGTGGGCGTTCCTGACATTTGCTCATGTGATCGTCATGGCAATAATAACCGATCCTTAAAAAGAGCTTCAATCAGCAGGTAGCCAAGTTAGCTGCCTGTTAGCAACAGGTTGATTATTTGCAACAATCAAATGCTACATTTTTACACTTAATGCTCTACAGTGAGTCTTTTATTATGTCTCCCTCCCCTCATCCCAACTGGTCGCAGCAGATGGCTCCTCCTCCCTTAGCCTGGTTCTGTTGGTAGTTTCTTCCTGTTAAAAGGGAGTTTTTCCTTCCCGCTGTCGCGAAGTGCTTGCTCACAGGGGTTTGTTGTTCGCTGGGGCTTTCTCTCTATTATTGTTGGGTCGTTACCTTACAATACAAGTGCCTTTAGTGAAACTGAAATAAAACTGAAATGAGCTGTACAATGAAACCCTGTTGCTCTCTCAGCATATCTGCATAGCATGATTTTATTTCCACAGAAATTCCGGGTCTTTCTGTGTGGAGTTTGCATGTTCTTTCAGTGTTTGCGAGGGTTTTCCCCGTGTACTCCGGCTTCTTTACGCAGTTAGTGGGGTTACGTTAAGTAGTGATTCTAAATATCTGTACGTGTGAATGTAAGCGTGCATGGTTGTCTGTCTCTCTGTGTTAGCCCTGCATCATATTGGCTACTGCCACCTCTTGCCCTACGGTAGGCAGGGATAGGCTCCAGACTAGAGACTGGATGCATGAATTTCATTGGCAAATGGCTGCGCTGACATGACACGAATGCTGACACCTGTGCTGCAACTCCAGAGGTTGAATTTTCCCTTAACTTTCAGCATGAGCGAAGTGAAGAGGCATATCAAAAATTCAGTTCAGCAACACTTGATGTCACCCCATTCAAAGAAAATGAAAAGCGAGGGTGCTTCACCCGGAAACACATCTGTGCAAATTCTGCTTTAGTTGCTCAGAATGTTGTTTTAAATCTTTTTTTTTTTAAAACGTAAACCAACATTGACAGTAATTTCCAGTAATTCTCTGTCACTTGGTTAATGTCACAGTGGTAATCCATCTTTTGTATACAGTCTATGGGATCAACATGTCAGCAACTGTGATCAACTGACTAACTCTAAAAACTTGATCATGTACAGTTTATGAAAAAAGGTTTTCTATCCTTGATACATCTTTTGACCACGTAGCTCCACTTTTGGGTTTCCTACCCACAAATCTGAAAGTGAGAGCCACGGCCCTGGAGCATATCAAAAACAAGATTTATGTACAGAAACAACATCACCGTTTTCCAGCATACCGCTAGAGCATAAAGCCATTCATAACCTGCTTTTAGTGAGATTTAAGACTCCAAGGTTTGCACTTAGAAGCTTTTGAAATGGCTCTGGCAGCCGCAGCTCTGTGAGTGGCGAAGGCTCAAATGAATATCTGCAATACTTTCATATCGGCACCCTATTGTTTAATGTCAATAATATCAGACTTCAAAGACAAGACTCCTCGCAGAGAAGATGAGGTGAGGTGACCTAAGCAGGCGAGAAATCCTTTTAATACACTGTTCTCACAGCTTTTGATTAAAAGGCTCAAGACAGGCGATGAAATAAATAAATAAAGAAGGTTAGTGTTGTATTCACAAAGACAAGGCAGGGCTTTGATCTTGAGGAGGAGTAACCTGGGAGCAGGAGACAGCGTGTGCGTGTTCCTGTGCACTTAACTATATATGTATGCATGTGTAAGACTTTGTGTGAGCAGACCAAATGAGAATGAAAGAGCGGGATCTCATTAATATGAGTCCCTTTGTTCCACTAGAAGTCAGAGTACATAGAAAAAAATTACATTCCCACCCTTTTGAGGTGACATTGTAAAAAGTTTGGTGCTAGCATTTTCTCAGCCAAATCCCCACTCAGCAATTTGACTTCATGGATTAATGTTAGCTTGTAGGTATGCCACCTGCACAGGTACTGGGGTAATACAGAGGACGCTTGAAGCTGATCAGGAATGCAGACATAAAACCCCCCAGTTACATAGAAAAAAAAGGGAAACTTTGATCCACTTGGAAGTGTACTCTGTCAGGACTAATGCATGGTTTTTAATGCACCATCTAGCTGCCAACCACCGTGGAGCATTTAAAATAATCTGATTAAGCTGAGAAAGACTGACTGCCAGTGCACTTTCCTCTGTCGATGAGGAAAGTAATCCTATTTTCTGCTGTTTCTCTGTCATATGCTTTTCCACCTATCTGATCCTTGTCTAATTGACAAGAGCAGTCTCATAACCTGAGGGCTGCAGAAGGAGCAGCAGCACGGAACGCCATGTTTCATGTATCTCTCATGAGGACTGAGACCCACAGATGTGTTATGATGCTTTTATCCAGCCTGGATCTCATAACACAAACAATTACTAGTCCCTAAAATAATCTTACAGTAATATGTCTGGACAGACAAAGAAATTATACGTTCTAAATTGAAACAGGCACTGGGATGGGAATTGGAAAAGGATGTGTTGGAAAACAGTGATTTTTATTTTATTTTATTCTTTATCTCTCACTGCTCCAGGATTATACAAAAAGCAGTTCATAGATGCATAAAATACTGTATTTCAACTCAAATAATCAAAAATTCTTTATGTTTATGCTTGACTCTCTTCCTTAGCACACATTCATCACTATCAATGAAAGAAAAAAAAGAAGTGAATCATATGCCTTCTGTTATTCCAGAGCACCAGGGAGGGAGTTTGGGTGAAGTATCCCATTTTATTGATTTTAATTCCATTAATACCTTATGACTGGCTGCTTGGCAGGCTCTCCCAGGCTAGTGGCCATGCACGTCTGTTTTTATAGTGGATTTGATTGGACATCCTTATCGGGTGGCAGCAGGCAGGAAAGGGGACTGGAGACCGGCAAAGATCCACAGCGCTGGCAGCCAGGCTGCATGTTTGAAACAACAAGCTTCAGATCAAACATGATCAGTGTAGGCTGCCAGCACAACCGAGCCATGTTTGTGCACTGCATTGTGCATGAGCTCATTTCTGCGTTTGTGTGTGATGGTGTGGGAGGGACACTCTTTTACTTTCCTGGCACCTGATGCATGCACACTGAACTCACGTCAATCCCAGCAATTAGTAGATTCAAACGAATGAACGGATTAAGTCATGCTATCACATGGACTTTTCCTCTGTATATATGTCCAGCACTCAGCTCTAAGCAGTGGCAGAAAATATCCGACCAGTGCGTAAATGCGCCGTGAGACTGTGCATTAATATCAATTTTGCCATGTATTTGGATCAAAGTCAGTGAGACACCGCCGTCACTGAAAGTCATGCCCTCGCTCTGTTTGCTTGCCAGTTCGCTGAGGCTTGGGCAATGTTGCCTAGTTTTCTCGTTGCGTGGAAACTAAAAGGCTGCTCTGAGTGAGAGCCCTGGAGTGAAGGGGCATTTCCACTGGCGCGTCGTAGTTTCCAGAGCGGGTTTCGCCGCAAGTTTGACGAGCTGCAGGAGGACTTACTGGAGGCGAACCAAAATATCGAACAAGCCGCTTGTTGGAAAGCGCACTGATCTGGTGGAAGATATTATTTTTGGACACTTGCCTAGAAACGCGCCATGGAAGGAAGAGGGAAAGCGGCAAAGACGTGAGTGTTTGTGTTTGTGATACTGGCCACGATGCATGTGTTTTTTGTTCTTTGTGATAATTTATGCAGCTAATCCCCCCCCCCAAAACCAAAACAAAACAAAAAAAAAATCGCCGTTTAAACAAAGATTTTAAAAACGTAGCTGCTGTTGGGAAAAGGCGCTTAATGATGCTGACTATAAGCAGGATGAAAGACAAACTTAGCAAAGGTATCGGTTCCACGAGGTATCACCTTTATCTGCTTTCAGTTCATTTTAACCAGATGCTTGTACGTGAGGAAAACTGGTATTTCTGCAGGACCCGGTAGCCGGTTTAAGCCACTCATTTTAGCTCTTGTGATGTCAGCTGGTGTTGTCATTATCATAAATTAAAGTTTAAAACTAATGGCATCACTAGGCTGTAAAACTTTACGTTGAGGATTTGAAGATTCAAGTCAATCTTGAGGATACACTGATGAGTCAGTGACACAGTTTTTTAATCTCCAGCACGGAGTGAAAGCCATTGCATCAGAAGAGCTGGCTGCTCGGCAGTATTACTGTTTACTGTACTGCTCTCTAAGTCAAGTCAAAAAGATTTTTATTTGGAAATGGAAATCTACCGAGTGCAGTGTTTTGCTGCACGGAGCCAGAAAAGTGTATCCAGAATAGGGCTTCATGAGCTGAAATCAGTGAAATAATATTTGGCCTGCATTAAAAGGACCAATCCAAGTTAAACAGGCTATATCGAGGATGTTCATTTGTCCTTTCCTTGTTGCTGTTTACCCAGGCCGCCACAAATAACTGTCAGCTCAGAGGAGAGTGGGGTGAATTGTGCCAGTTTTTAGTTAACGTGACTTTAAACCGAGGCCATGACACTAATGCTTTCAAATAAAATATGTACATATATTTTAGGATGTGGTGCATCCTTGGGCACAATCACTTTGAATCGGAAATATAGTATTTAAGAAATACAGCTTTCTGGAAAAAAAAGTGGCACAGCATGCCCCTGGTGTGGGGTAGGTGGTGCCTTTGGAAAGAATACCTTGTGGTAAATTGTGCAACTGATTATAAAAGATTCTTTGTGCATACTCAAAAGCCAGTTCAAGGCATTTCATGGGACTTAGACCATAAAACATTGCTTCTAGTGCCTTTATATATTCTGCCAGTTCTTTCTCCTATGCTCATCAAAGACTTGATTGGCAAGTCCAGTTCTTCTCTTCTCACTGTATTGTTTTAATGTCATCCTGCATATGTTCATCCTCCTTGCCACCTGACGAATGGACTCCCCCTTCTCCATGTCCTCTAAAGGAGTGGAAACCCTGCCTGTCCTCCTCATTATAACTCCTTGGCATGATAGTCTAGTATTAATTGTTGGTCTGAAATTAAGATTGTAGTATAGTTTTAGTGGTAAACTGTAGAAATAAAAGCTACAATTACAATAAAATAATATATTTAAAATATTCATAATTGGGGGTGAGTTGTGCCACTGACACAGCTTAACCCAGGTCCCTTGGCACAAATCACTCCAACCCTACTATTTTGGAAAAAATGCATCATCCAGCAGTTTTGAACTAACATCATGCTAGCTGTGTGGACACAGTGTAGCTTGTCAAAGCATTAAAACATTTGTGCAATGTTTTCAAACTTGTCTATAACTGCTCAGACAAATCAACCGAAAAACCTTGAGCCTAGAAATTTTACTTTGAAAACCGAAAAACTGTTGTTTTCTTAACTTAAATGTGCTTAATTCTCATGCAGTGTCGTTCCCTTCTTTGCAGGATAAGTGAAATGGCTGACTGTTCAAAAATGTGTGGTCACATGACCAATTTCTTCTATGGTTCCCTAGAAACAGGGGGTGGCACAACTTCCCCACTGGCACAAATCACCCCACTTTCCCCTATTTAAAATTCACGTGGTGTTCGCAGCTGCCGCAATAGGCTACTGTTGTGAGACTACACACAACAGACACTAACATATATTAGATCTTAATGACTCGGATGTCTCGGTGTGTGTGTCCACGTCATTGCTCCATATTAAAATGGTCCCAGAGTGTGCGCAGGCCTGACAGCAGTGAATTTAGGAAGTGAGAGATTGACCTGTGGCTGCAAAAGCAATGCATTTGCAGTGCCAGCTGCATCGTTATTTATCACATTACGTTAAGAAGACTAACTGTTCCTAGAATATTTGCATGCATGCAATCTTTTGCAAATGCATTACAGATTTTTCTTAATTTTTATTTTTTATTTTTGCAGACCTGTGCTCCACCCTGCTACTCATCCAGCTTATGCCATGTCTACTGTCTTAATCTTATTTACAAGTGTCCCTTGCCTTTTCCCTCTCCTGCCTATCCTTTCTCTTCCAGCTGTCTTTGTCAGCTGCCTCTTTGGCTTACTAACATCTGCCCTTTTCCTCGATCTCTCATTAGTGTCACGCAATGTTCTCTGTGCTGTCACTGCAATGTTACCCCTCTCCTTAAATCGTTGTGATATCATTCTTTCTCTCACAACCCTGTGCTTGTGTGTCCAATTTCCCCGTCTCACCCACATGCTTTCCCCATCTCTGTCACCAGCCCTTTTACTTCTGCTCCCCCATTATCTCTCAGCCAAATACCAGGCTGGCATGCTATGTGATGGGAAAAGTACTGCCTTTACAGAAGCATAACACTAGCCGTACAAGACCCTTAATTTCCTTGGGTTTTAAGCTTTTCTGTCGTGCTGTTTTACGTTCTCATACACCCTGCTGCCACAGAGTGCAGAGGGAAATCCTTTGAAAGTTGCTTTCCTGGCCTTGATGAAGACGGATAAATGGCATATCTGAAGGAGGCAAACCGCAGCAGTCAGTGCTTAATAGCACAAGCTTCGTCTGTGCTTTGCATCAGTCTCCCCAAATGGCTCATTACTGAGGTTGTCTGACACTCATTTGTTAACTAGTGTGCACTGAGGGTTTTAGCTGCATCTCATGTACACACCACCAGTGCCACTACTCACTACCCCCAACCCCCCCAGTCATGTGATACTTTGAGGTACTTAGAGATCGATTTCATTTTTAATCTTGGTAAGTGGATCTTGCTCAGTCCCTGACCATTTTGGAGAAATTAAGCAGCCTGGTGAATTCTTCTTTCTCTTCAAACAAGGCAGATCATCACATTGTCTGTTTAGTTGTTTTGGGGGCATTAGCATTTACCTCAGCATAAGGATTGGGTGGCCAGCGCTAACGTTACACTGACTTAAGGAGTTTTTCCTGAAGAGGATTAGTAACAGGATAGGAGTAAGCCCTTATCAGCTATTAATGAAGTGTGTTAAGGTGGGTTGACCTGCAATTTTCAAAGATTTGCCTACAAAATATAAAAGTTTTATCATTTACAGGACACATAGACAAGCTCTTATCTCTGTGTTACTTGCACTTCCCAGTAAAACTAGAACATGTTAAATAAAAAATCTGGAAATGTGACAAAAGATGTTAAAGAAAAAAAGTTGTAGATGGAGTTATGTTTTGTTTAGAACATTTTTTTCCCTCTTAGTGTCACACTACTATGTTAATGCCCGTCTATGTGTACTGAAATAGCCCTGCGCTGCAGGGATGTCAATTATAAAAGAGGCACAGTGACAGCAAAGTATTTTCTTAGCTTGTTTATTGTGCTGGGATGAAGGGAATCTTTGATCCTTTGAGTTTCTTGGAAACACCAGTTGATGCTAGTTGGCAACACGCTGAAATGAGCGTACAGTATTCCCGCTGCCTCCACAGTGCAATTAGATAAGCTCCTGTTGCTCCCTTAAATAACATCACCGCTTCTGAAGAACATTTACAATCATCAGTGTTTTACAAAAGAAAAGTTTTTCACTGTACAAGCTGCTCTTCATTTCTTGCTTTCAGAAGGTAAACTTCCCACAGCCTGTGTCACTTTCTGTTGTTTTTTTATGCAACAGGTTCAACAGTTACTGGGGAGGTTGACGTGGACTTCAGCCCTCAGCTGAGGTGGTCCTCCCTGGAGCATGCCCACCGTATCCCACAATGTCCCTTCTTGCAGACTGGCTGCTACGCCACTCGGTGGTCATGTGTTTGCTGCTGCATAGTTTGGTGCTAATGACCTTCTGCTTTCATCATGCTGCCACGAGTTGCTCCAAGAACTGCTACTGCACCGAGAGCGAGAGTGGCGGCAAGACTGTGCGCTGCAGCAACCTGCAGCTCACAGAGATCCCGCAGGACATCCCCAATGACACACGACGTGTCTACCTGGATTTTAACCTCCTCACCACAGTTCCAACAAATGCTTTTGCCGGTTTAACCCAACTGGTTGAATTAGACCTTTCACACAATGAACTAAGTGAGTTAGAACCAGGTGCGTTCAGAGGCCTCGGCTCCACGCTACAGTTCCTGGACCTTTCTTCCAACAAGTTAGGAAACTTGACCCCTGATGCCTTTGAGGGGCTGCGAGCTCGCGCCAACCTAACAAACAATCCGTGGCACTGTAATTGCAATTTGCAGATGGCCATGCCTCGTGTGGACCTGGAGCCTGCATCACTGACAGGCGTTGTGTGCCACACTTCAGAACCTGAGAAAATAGGAGTTGAAGGACTTGCCTTCCTGTTGGCACCGGACATAGACCTCTGTGTGGAGATGAAGAGGACTACAGATGTGGCCATGCTGGTTGTTATGTTTGGCTGGTTCACCATGGTCATCTCCTACCTTGTCTACTATGTCAGGGCTAATCAGGAGGACGCACGTCGACATCTGGAGTATCTCAAGTCACTGCCCAGCAGACAGGGCAAGTCAGAGGAATCTTCCACCATTAGTACTGTGGTGTAGGACTGATGATGGAGCTTTGCGTGGGAACTGAAATGGTATCCCACAACAAATAGGACTGAGGTACTGCCCAGCTGTTGTCACGGAGCCAAGTTGGGCAATAAAACATGTGCCTGCACAAGAAAACCAGGCAACCTAGCCCAGATGAATAATTCATGTTTCAGCAGCCCATTAGGAGTTTTCGTTGGGTGAGTTGATGGTTTAGTCTGCGCGCTAAAGAAGTAAAAGCTGTGGCATCTTTTTTCTTGAACTCCAAACATGGGGATACAAATAGAATTTATCCAGTGGTGCATGCACATTGATGTACCTCTCTCACAAACAGACAAGTGAGGAGGAAGCATCAAACAGCAATGTAAACTGTAGGACAAGGCAACACTACAGTATGGAACTCTGTACATCTGTTTCCCATTAAAGTCCTTACAGTATTCACCACTATAATATAAGTGAAGTGTTGTTTTGGGGGGTTTCTTATATTGAACTGAGCTGAAAATATATACAGCATTTGGAATAGTCACTCTTTTGCAGATGCATCACTTCTCATGTCTCCCTGCAGATGTATGCACGATGAAGCAATACTCAGTTATTCTGTGATGAGTTTGATAGCAGCTACAGTACCAGAGCACCATATCGATGAGAACAGTCGACGTCCACCTGGCTCTACATGTAGGGAGTACTTCACAGAAAACTCCTGCTACCTTATGCCTTAAACAACATGTGCATTCAACACGTGCGTGTGTGTGTAGGAATGTCCTCTGGCTATAACTGCATATAAAAAGACGTGCCTTTTTCTGGTTGTTAAAGATTTAAGAGGATAGATTTGAGAGATTTGGTGGTTTATCTACTTCTTAACAAGCAACCTTTGCAAAGTCATGACAATTATAGCCTACATGATATCACAAACACATTGAAGCTCTGGAAAATGTGCTAATCATATATCATTCTCAGGAAAAAAAAGATTTCAGGAGGTAAGAATTTGCAATTATTTGTTATTTCATATCCAAGCTTCTTTTTTCTTAGCTGGTCGGAAAAGCCCAAACATACATTGCTTTTATCCTTTTACACAGAGGAATCCTTTATGATACCTGGTTATCTAGTGTCTGCTTTTGTACTGTTTTTCATATTCTCTCAAGCCTTTAAAAGGCTCCCATGGTGCCTGTGGGAACCATATTGTCTGATGCGGTCACTGGCATGGGTTTTCAAAATAACATTTATGAGGCCATGACCTGCTGGGTCCATTTAAAGAGCTGGCGGGGAAGTGAATCTCCGATTTCACCAGAGGATGGAAAATAGGAGGATGCATTTGTATCTCCTTTGATGAAATCATGTTGGGGTTTTTTTTTTCTTTTTCCTGGTATAGAAAGGTAAGAATAGCCCAGTGCAGTGCTGAATAATGAAATTTGATGTCGAAGATGAGGGGAATGGTTTGTCAACAAGGGCTTCCCTGTGTCGGACACACAAATTGCCTCTAGAGCAGAGCAAGACCAATGAATGATTTATGGTGGCCATAAAAACACTTGAGCAGAAAGACTGGGACTGCACCCTTCATCTTCTATGACCCAGTTCTTGAGGAGAAATTGAGGGAGAATGCCACAGGGGATCATCTGCCCCCATCTCTACAGCCCAGCTTACTCTTGCTTGGGTAAAGCACTTTCCAAATGTCCTTCGGCTGCTCATTGATGGTCCACAGAAGTTGCAGTAAACTCTGAGCCAGTTCCATCTCATTCTCAAACTCACTTTCCCAAAGGCAACCCTGTGCCTGTAAGGAATAGTCTGACAATTTAGGAAATACTCTTTCTTGATGGGGGATTGAGATCAAAAACTGGGGTATACTCCAAAAAAACAGCTTAAATAAATAAGTTTCACTTTTATATATCGATTGATTTATTAATTACCTGTACAAAAGCTAAAGTACCAGATTATTTCTTGGCTAAGATCTAGGGTTAAATGAACATGTGCTACTAAATGTATTTTTAGACAGTCATGCTGGGGCTATGCTATGCTAAGCTATGCTAAGCTAACGTCAGGGGCGAGGGAAAAAAATCGCTTCATACCCAAGTTATGAAGCGGTTCTTTAAGAAAAGCTTAGAAAAGATTGAAAGTTTCTGGGGGGAAAAATTCAAATTTAAAGGTGGTTGTTGGTGTTACATGCTTGAGTAACTTTTTCTGTTAGCAATATCTGATGAAGAGGCTTCGTGCTCCTGAGTTTCAGGAATTTGTTACAGAAAACAATCATCTCTTTGGATTTAATCTTAAAGAAACCCAGGTACAGCCTCCCACGATGAGCAGGAGCTTCAGCTGCACTGAAAAATAGATGGTGTACCTCCCTGTGACATTTCCTGCCACAGTCACTCGCACACACACACACACACACACAAATAGTGATCTCTCCTACCCTCTTTCCTCCAATAACACACTCTCACGGTGGCTTTGAAACCAGCCACCGTAAAGGGAGCCTAACTGCAGGGGGAGATAAGCATTAAACTAGTAGCAGACATGTGTCTCAGTAGCTCTTCCAGCTAATATATGTGAGTGTGTACATTCGTTCGTATCAGAGGCGCGGGTGCATGGCGGGTTTTGAGGGTGCCGGTAATGCAACACCTGTTCCCCATGCACACATAAATGTTGCTGAGGTTAATTTAAATTTCAGGCCAGCTCAGCTTGCCCCGCCTGCTACCTTGGACACGTTACACTGGTGTGAGCATTACAACTGCTAGGTAATGGGACACAAACTAGGGGATAAGGTGACTCATCCAATCCCACAGAGCACAGCGCTGTTTGGGATTGGGTTGCAGGTGAAAATGTTTCCAGGTTCTGAGATCACATAGTCCCCGAGTGAGGACCTGAGTGGGCACCTGTCAATTTGCTTTTTTAGCCAAAAAGGTAAGTGACACCTTCAAGGCTTTATCTGAGGAGACCGTCAAGGACATCCTCTGGGTAAGTGTCAATATTCTTTGAGGCTGATCTGAAGAGACTTTCAGGAGACATTGTTTCAAGGTCCCAGCTTTATTTTGTGTTACACAGCTCCCCCTGCGGTGGAAAGTGTGTAAGTGTGAGGAAAATAAATGTCCATTGGTACACATTACAAATAGAATTTATTAGTCAAAGAAGATTGCATTTAAAAGACAATAACAAGGGCAAAAGTAGATAGCATACTCTAACTAAAAATTCATTTTATTTAGAGTATACTGGGAGCAAAATGACCTGCGGGACCCAAATTGGCTTGCACAAGTTCCCCCTGACCCATTTTCCTATACTGTCATTTTTTAACCTTATCAGTGACTGCTAGAGATCAGGTTATGATTTTTTTTAAGAAAATAATGTAGCTGAGCAGTGCAAAAAAGGGCAAAAAAGAAAATATCTTTAAAAAATTACAAAGTTATATCTACAAAATTTCAGGACCTGGAGAAACCACCATTAACTACAACTACTGGGTAGTACTGCATTAAAAACAGATGGTTCTGTGGTGGAAATCACTGCATGGGCTTGGCAGTGCTTCTGAGAAATACTGTGAGGTAACCAGGAAAAATACAACATCTGCCTTCTGATCAATTAGAATTTGAAATTCTTTTTAGAAATCGTGGAAACTCTTTGGGCTAAAGAGAAGAAATGTCTTTCAACCTGTCACAGATGTTGACAGATTAAAAGTCAACATCTGTGACGGCACTGGTGTCCATCAGTGGACGGTATAGGGGAACCATCCAACCGTCTCTGTTAAGGCAGAGATATACAGGTTGTGCCATCTGCAGGCTGTGTTGTTCAGGGAAAGTAAAAACTACATTTTGCATGCATGTACAGGCATCTATACAGATATACAGATTCTAGTCTTACTGAACACTCAGAGAAGAATGCTCAAAATATTTTTTTGCTGGATTAATATTCAAAATGAGAATACATTTGAAAATAAGAATGACAATTCTCAGTGGTAACCTGAACATGATTAAAAACAATTAACAACACTTTTTGTAATGATTTTAAAATCAGCCCAACTTTTATTTTCAAATGCAACAAAGTATAACGGCCAACATGCTGGGCACTGTTCTGCTGAACAACAAACAATTATATTGCCATCACTATTATAATCTTACAATGAAACAAAGTCTCAGATGTAATTATTCTGAAACTAAGTTTAGGCCTACCACAAGTTTGTTTTGTACTTATATTACTTATATAATCAAAATACAATATTTGTTGTTCTGTCACAAATGCAGTCTTTAATTTAAACAACACATTTGTTTTTCATTCTAACACATGAGCTGGAATGTTGTAATATTTTAAGGATGGCTTCTTTCCAGTCCAGGCATTACTGCCTGAATGACTATCATGGATCGAGGTGATCCAAATGTAAGTGCAGAAGAAAGTCTTTAACTTCCCTTAAGTACAGTGGCAGTGGATGTGGGTTGGAGATGCAATGAGCTTGAACCTTCAGGTGACCATCTTCACTGACCACACCATCTGTGACGGAGGACTCATCTCTCCTGGTGTCCTGCAAGCAAACGATCATATGTTTTAGAACACAAACTTAATTGCTTTCTTAAAACATTTTTTTCTGCATTTGGTATAAAACAGACTCCAATTTAGACAATCTCAGGCTCCCTCCCCACCGGAGAGGTGACATTCAATGTCCCACTTGTCAGTCTGGATAGCCTGACCACCACCCAACACACAATAATGTCATGAAAGCATCATTTTAAAAAGGGCTATGCAAACATGGCCAATAACTTTCATTCTAATGATGTGCAAAATGATTTGGGCACAAAACAAATTTTGCTGTTTTAAAACTTGCCGACTTCACTACATACAGTGTAGACCAGGGTTCAGCAACCCTAGGCACGAAGGGTTAACTGATGGCACGACCATAGCTGGACTGGCCATCGGGCATACCGGGCATTTGCTCGGTGGCCCGATGATTTTTTTTTTTTTTTGTAACGGTATAAACAATGAAAGGTGGTGGATTGGCCAGATGCTGGCCGGTGTGTAAAAATAACTCAGTTGTTTGGTGGTGGCTATGGCGAGCTTCCACAGATTCAGTAAAATTAACAAGTGGTGGAGGCCAGCAGGTGGATGAGGGAAAGGGGAGGCAGGAGGAGGAGACCCAAGGCGGCGCTGGTCCGAGTGTCAGGTGAACTGAACTTCAGGTAAGAAGTTATGACCTGCAGTCTATCTGGGTCAGATATAAACCAAGTTTAGGTGGAGTTTATTTTCGTTGTGCTGACTTTTTACAGTCAGTTACAATAACTCGTACTGCGTACTAGCTAGCATGACGGAGTTTCTATACAGCTGGGTGGTGCTATGATGTTACTGATAGTGAACTTTATTTTATTCATAAGGTTAGTTAGTAGAGTTGCCAACACTCCCGTAAAAAGACGGAATCCTCCCGCATTCAGAGAAATTATTACGCGTTTCGTGTTGAGCTGAGAAGGGACGCAGTTTGTCTAGGATGGAAAAAGACACAAAGGTGGATTTATTCTTGTCTTTACGCTGCACAGCTGCTCTTCTTCTCTCATCTCTCCCCCTCCCTCTCCTGTTGCTACTTCAATCATGAAACTGATCAATGATCAGCTGATCGGCTTTTCTCTCTTGTTTGTTTATCGCCCACTTTGCGCCAGAAAGAGGAAACCAGCGGATGTCGCGCTAAACAACAGCAGCACGTTTAAGCTTGATCAGCTGTTGTTAGAATTTATTTAATATTAATTTCTAGTATCAGCTGATGTTTGCTGGAGCCACAGCTGTAAAGCTGCTGGTCATGATGTCGGTTTGATATGTGGTGAGAGGGAAACATGAAGATGAAACCAGGAGATGTCCTTACTGAATCATCAGAGCTGAACAGGTGATGGAGAAACAGGTTTACCTTTTAGGTACATGAATGAGTTGAAGGGAAGTTATGAACTGTTTCTGAGAGACAAATAACACCAGGATCCTTTTCTAAGTAGCTGACAGCTGGTAACTGTGCAGGGGCGGGTCTAGCAAAGTTGTTGCCAGGGGGGCAGTGTAGGGCATTAACAGGGAGAGGGGGGCACAAAGAAATACTTTCTTTTCTCATTTAAAAGTCTGGCTGTTATTAAATAATTATCTGAAGCTTACAACCAAAGTTTTTATCTGACGTAAAATGTATAGAAATCATACATATACCAACAAGACTGTACATCACTGTCACAACAGCGTTTGTTTTCATTCAAAGGCTTTATGGCTTTAATACCTGGTGGGCCGGTCTCTAGTCAAAATGCCCGGGCTTTTTTTTGTCCCAGTCCAGCCCTGGGCACGACACGCAGTGAATTAATCTGAGAAGGTGCATCAAAAAATAAATGGCTGCGCCAGCGGTGCACATCGCAAATTAGCTCGCATAGACACATTAGTTGTGCCTCTTCTTAATGACGGTATCTTAGCTAACAACCCCAACTACCAGATTCAACTTGTAATTGGCTAAAAATAACTTGCCTACTGGTGAGAGGGACGTTGTTAGCTTTCCACATTCCGACACTTCAAAAGCTTCAGGAGCTTTCTGCTCAGCACAGCATCAGCACCACGGAAATACACGGATACATCCGATAGACTCGAGACACAATGCATTTTTGGGACTTTCAGGTGTATGGACCAATGTTTTATTTTCTGAACAAACCAGAAATCTTTAATGAGCAGCTAGATTTGTCTCGCATTAACTGGCTGAGTTAATGCCAGTTAATGCGACATCGAAGCAGTTGGAATCCATAGAGGTGTGTGTTCATGGAGCTTGCATTTTCACCTGCTGGACATCACTACCTGACAAGTTTAACTGTCTTCAGAACATTGCAGAGGCCTTATTGACAGTATTTGGCTCTACATTCTGTGTGAGCAGATTTTCTCTCACATGAAGAGTGTCCTCAGGTAGCCGTCTGAATGCTGGACACTCGGAGACCTGTGTCTCTGAGTGGGAGACCAGAGATCACATTAACATGTGTATCTCTGTATTAACAAACATGCCATATTGGCTCAGTTTATTTTTCTTATCATTGTTGTGAGGAGACCATAAATAGCATTTGTATTTTCTGTTGTACAGTTCATTTGCTGTTATGGAGTTCTTGTTATGGATAAAAAGTGTCTTTTTTTGTTTCAAAATAGCTGATAACTATTCGCTGATAGCTGCCAACATCTGCAAACAAATATAATTCTATAAAGTGGTTCTATATAGTGTGTAACTGTTCATATAGAGCGTTATTAAATTTATTGCTAATGCAATCGTATGGCACACTGACTTCTGAGGAAATTTTAAATGGCACTCGCCATCTGAAAGGTTGCCTACCCCTGCTGTATAGCGTTTTTCCACTCTGAGCACTCAAAGTGGTTTTTACAGCTTGCCTTATTCACCAATTCACACACGCCTTTTCTATGTAAGTGCTTTCTATCTAACATTCACACACATTCATACTCTGATGGATGCATCGGAGAGCAAGCAGTGGTTAGTTTCTTGACCAGGGATATTTAGCCTGCAGACTAGAACAGCCAGGGATCAAACCAGCAACCTTCTGATTCGCAGATGACCCCCTCTCCCACTACCAGAGCCTTGGATTATGTTCTTTATTTCAACTTTAGCCTATATAAACTAGCTCATTAAAACGTTTTGTAGATTGGGCCAACCACAACCAAATGGAAAAAAGTAGGTTTATCTGTGTTGATGACACAAACTTGGGCCTAGTGATGAAGTTCATACAGGTTTTGGTTACAATCGTCGAATATAAATTGTTGTTTATCATCCCGTTGGTTATCAGCTCGAACTGATTTAAAGAGGTGAAATCGGGTCCTTCAGGGAGAGTTGGGCTCTCTGAATGCTCTTGTTTGACATGTAAATGCAAATTAGATGTAACACATTTATTTCTCTTTTTTGCCCAACAAAACATAATGAAAAGCTAATGGTTCATTTGCAGGATAGAGATTAACAAATGACTTGTGGTCTATGCAATAACAGGAAGTCATAGACCAAATCCTCATAGTTCGTGTGTACAGACAGCTACACATTTTGTCATGACAAAGTCAGAATTACTCATGTTGGGGAAGTGTTTTAGTGTCAGTCACGTCACAGACATGGTGATGATGATTTTATCGTCATCACCATGTCTGTGATTTTTTTCCTCTTCAGACATCTTTTTTCTGAGGAACCTACCTCGTTAGTTTCAACGCATATCTACCCAGACGGGCTGAGATTCCATAAACCATCTTTCTCAATCCACATGAAATGAAAATCTTTAAAACTGGCTTTTGTAAGCAGTTACCGGTATCAACTGATTAAACACAACCGTCTTTATAGAAAATCAGTGCACAGGCCTTAGCTTTAGTGGAAAAACAAATACAGAAACAGATGAGGATTTTCAGCACAGTGGCGAATGATTCTGTTTTAGGGATCATTACATTCAGAAGAGCTTTCCGAACCCAGGAATAAGACTAAAATATTAAGAAAACCCCTTTCCTTTAATTCCTTTAACTATTTGTACATTTTATGGTAATCGTGCCCTTTAATCATTTTCTGGAGGGGTTTCAAGGCATTTAAGGTAGAACTATCTGTTTCATGTCTTCACATGCCAATTAAAATTCCATCTTAACCGCCACAGTATGCCCAGATTCATCCGTGGATCCAGCGTTTACATTAAGAGCTGAGCATTTGTCAACATAATTCAAAGTTCACCATACCACAAGGCTTTCAGGCACAACTGACATATTATACAAAGTGTAATCAACTCATGCATCAGGTATCTATCCTCTTCCACTACGCAGGGCACGACTGTTCAACCCTTCTCTGCTTAGCCCAGTGCAGGGCCAGCACATTGTTCCTCTGTTACAACCAAATCATGTTTCCAACAAGGTCGCTGCTGGGCCGTAGAGAGAGATTACAGCAATGAATGAATGCCTCCTTTCACGGAGAGGAATGATTGGAGATCAGAGCAGTGTAGATTTCAGGGATCAGATTTGACAGCTTTATTTCACAACCCATCAAGCATGGCCACATATCAGAGCTACACTGACTGATCAAGTGCCTCATGTTAGAGCGGGAAGAGAACCGATCCTATCGACGGCTACAGAGGAGACACAGGACTGACCTGCGAGGTGATTACACTCTGATTATGATGTTTGGACATGTTTCCAAGTCACACCTGATAACCAAGGCAATGAAACTGACCAATAATTTTATGTTTTATTGTCTGATTGTGCAAACAACAGTCTGCAGTAAGGATACAGGAAGTATGACTTTAAACATGACTTAACATAAAATCTTGTGATAGAGCTGAAATGTGCATGAGGGAACTGTATCTCACACATGCCTTGCTACATCAAATCTTAATGATTCATGAGTTGTAATAATGTTCCCGCCTTTTTTGTGGTCGGGTCTGCAGAACATGTAATAGACTAAAACCCAAGCCAGTAATGACTTGAAATGAATTCCTAATGCTGTAATCATGATTAATTCAGAAGAATTTCATCATTATGCCATGATGACTTCAGAGGAAGTGGTGACCAGATCCACCTTAACACTCTTAAATAAAGGATAAACAACATGTATTTACGGAACAGGTTGGCAATAAAACAAACAAACAAACAAACAAAAAACCCTAAAATAATACATGATACAATTAACACTCACATAAAAGCCTTCTACCACCTGAGGAACATTTCCAGACACCCATCAGACTATGCAGATGAAACCCTCAGTCCTTTCTTCATCACTTCCTGGCTCGACTCCTGCACTGGTGTGCTGTTAGGTCTGCTTAATAAAGCCCCAGAGAGACTGTAGTGTGTTCAGAACTCAGCTGACAGACTTCTTACCCTCTCTCAGTCCTGGTAACTTCTGCAACCCACCCATATACACCTCCACTGGCTCCCAGTCAACTCCAGTGTCTCCTATAAAATCCTTCTCTTCACCTGCAACTCCCAGATGCTACATGACCCCCAGCACTTACTGGACCTTCTCCTCCACACCCCATCATGTAAATATCACTACTTAGGGACATGTACAGTTGAAATAGCTTGTAAAATAAATAAATAAATAATAAAGAAGAAGAAGAAAAAACGATGAGATATATATGATTATTATAATTAGATAGATCACACACTGGAATTAAGTGCATTAAATTCCATAACTGTAGCCTTTAATGTGGAGAACGTATTGAATCGTGATATTTTTTTTAATATATTACCGATGCATGGCAAGTGTTCAATACATATACTAAGACGAGCCCACCAGGGGGGACTGTTGTATCTGTTGTAAGCCTTTTCGCTTCTTCTCTGCAGACGAGGCAAAATCCGGTGATGTCACTAACCCCAAATCAGTGGGCAGCTGTGTGAATGACAAGAGGAAAAACTTTGATCATCCTAATACCGCAACAGCAACCACAGTAAATAAATAAATAAATAAAAATCTAAAAACAACGTTTACAGTGTGTGGGTGCAGCTACGTGTGACTTCATCTCTTGACAGATTACGCAGCTACTTTTCGGCTGCTCCCTTATTGACAGGGGAGCTGTTTGATCCTGGGATGAGATGTCACATGTTTCAGTCTATTAATAGATTTTTTTTTTAAAAAGGTACGTCATCAGATGACTCAATGGACTAACCGGCAAAATGACGACTGACAACATTAGAAAACTAAAGAACACTTTCAGCCCAAAAATCCAGTGTTTCAAAAGGCAATAATTCACTGACTTCTTTTTCATTTCCGTTTCCTTCTTTCTGTCCTTTACATTTTACTATATGACAGTTTTGCACAATCTGTAGGACGACAGTAATTAAGGAAATTTCACTTCCTAAAACGTAATTCTAGAATTGTATAACTTAACTGTCAAATTTCTTTCTTCTTTCTTTCTTTTAAAATTTTTTTTTGTTACAATAAATAAATAAATGAATAAATAAAAATCAGGTCCATCCATTTAACAAATTTCATTACGACTTTTTGAATTTACTTTTTAATTATTACTGTTAGTATTATTATTATTATTATAGATTTATTTGATATTGTGTCCGTTTTTCAATTTAGTTATTTTATATTTGAATGTGACTCAAACATTTTTTATATTTTTTAAAACAAGTGTTTTATTTATTTATTTATTTTTTATTTTGTTCCTAAATTTATTATTATTATTATTATTGTTAATAATATTAATAATAGTAATAATAATACTTATTATTATTATTATTATAATAATACTTATTATTATTATTGTTGTTGTTATTATTGTTATTATTGTTATTGCTAAAATGCTAAAAATGCTTAAAAAAAACAAAAAAACTTTTTTTTTAGTGTGAACTTGATTAAATTACTACTCACTTATTGGGACCAACAATTTGTATTTAATTTTTAAAATTTTTTTTTTTAAAAGTGCAAACGTTTACACTTTTAATGGAAACACCATCGGATGAGTAATTGGGGGAATTTCCTCCACACGGTCCAGCTTTACATATATAAGCGTACCATAAATCATTGATGGTGTTCACTAGAGGTCAATACTTTAAGGCATTCCCTAGCAGAGGCCATGCACATTCTGACTGGTGAGTAGTGAGGCAATCCTTACAGAATACTGATTTCTCCTCTCTGCTGATCGTCCCCAGAGAGCGAAAACACTCTGTAGAGTCTGTAGAGGAAGCTACAAGAAAAATTCAAAGGATCAGCCTTTGGACAAGCAGACATCTCTGACTGATAGAAAGGCAGGTTTGTTTTAGAAGCACCAGATGTTTTGATTCATTAATAGGGCTTTTATTCTGTGTTAACATCTGGTGCTTTTTAAAACATCTGCTCGGGCTTTCTTTTCCACCATGCTGATCTACTGCAGTTACTTTTGGCTCAAGCTTCACATTACACGGGCTGTTCTCAACTGCTGCACATATTTAGCCCCAAGGGGGGACATGCCCAAATCTGCAGCAGAGAGGACCGGTTGAGAGGAGGCTTTGTTCTGCCTTTTGTTCTCTGCCTCCACACAGCGTACTGGATGAATATCGGGGTTGTTTCTATGTTACGCCGCTGATGCCTTGAGCTTTTTGTTTGTTTGTTTTTTAATTTTTGTTTTGTTTGCTTCTCTTTTTTGCAGTTTTCGCTATTTCTTGCTACATGGCCACGTTCGCCCTCAGCGCACCTCTGCCGGAAAGAAGCGCACTTGTTGAAGGTCCGGAATTTCAAAAGATTGTACAGAACTGCAAGCAGTTGACAGAGAAGATCCTTCTCTCGATCCCCGAAACACACAAATCCTGCATTAAGACGGAGGTGAGACACACTAATGCAGTTTTGCCTGATTTCTTTAAAGCTTCTGCGTCATGACTTGTGTTTGATAATGTGCTGTCAGCGTAAGGAGCCTGTCAGTCAGCGGCGTTTGTATCTGAAATGCGTTTATGTAGCTGTAATGACTGATATGAACAGTCTCTGGAAAAGAAACGGCACATGTCTGTCAATGTTTTTTTGTTTTTAGATGACAGGCAACTGAGTTATCAACATCTGGCATGTTTTTTGTTTTCCTCGCTGCTATACATCCTTAACCATTTGATGTTATTTCTTTTATCGTAGACTCTGCAGCTGAACTCCACAGATAATGCGCAGTTTGAGATCATGAGGTCCAGGCTTGGCATCCCCTCTGCTCCTCATATCAAAGCCCTGTCAGAAAACGTCACTTTGGTAAGCATTCTTTGAGAGTGAACTGTCATCATGCTTTGAGAGTCTAAAAGCAGGCACGATGACCAGTTTGTTTTTTCTCTCTCTTCCATAAGGAGGACGGTTTGAGACAGCTCTATGAGGGTCTGCAGACGTACCGGGCCTTGCTGAGCTCCCTCAAAAACTACCCCAAGCTGGCAAACAAAGATAAAGTCACCGAGCTAATGGCTGATGTACGAGACCTCGCCATTCAGATCAAAGAGGTAGAATTTTTCTAAATTGCAGCCAGTCTGGCAAATTGTTTTTGCATGTTGCATCTTCTTAATGCTTAAAATCATTTTCTTTGTTTTGCTTTTTTAGATGTTAAAAATTGTCCATCCGCAAGGTTCACCCCACCCCACCAAACCCTCCGCGCCCTTAAATCTACCAGCAGATTATGAATTTCAGGTGGCAGCACACCTGACTCTGGTGGACCTCCAGTCTTACATTCAGGACCTGGTCCGCTTCCTCAGGACTCTGGACCGCAGCACAGAGGTGGAGACAGAGTCCTAACCAAAAAGTGTCACACTTTGCTTTTGGCTCATGTCCAAAATGTACGTTATGGTATTTATTGATCTGTGAAAGCATTATTTATTTTTGTATTTGCATTTCATATTTATATATTTATTAACAGAACTGGACTGGACTATTTATTTTCACAGGTTAAAACTAAGGAAATGTTAACACAATTGACTAATGCTCTGTAAAGCAGTACATTAAGGTATTTGACAGTTGATTTAAGGTGTTGGTGGCACGTTAATCGATACCAACAGCAGAACAAGAGTAAAATTGTATATTTTTGTATTATTTTTATTTAAATTATAATAATAATAATAATAATAATGTCTGTATTTTCTTATTTTTTAATAAAAAAACATTTTCTGAAAAACATTTGTACCTCTTTGTGAAAAAACATGCATAATTATACAAAACAATAAAATGAAACCTGAACTTCCAGTGAAGTTACTACTCTAATAGAGAAGTGCAACAAAGGGTGAAATAAGGACTTTGCTGTCATTATTTCCGCTACTGAACCAGACGGATGTCCTTTAAGAAGTGTTGCAAGCGGTGTATGACTGTGACAAGAGATGACCCACAGTGCCTTGTGTATGGTGTCATGTGTTGGGCTGGCTAGCATGTGATCATTCTGACTCAAGGGACAACAACGACAGCGGCCACACATCATGTTACTGAAACTCAAAAAACACAGAGGTGCCATTTCACCATGATGTGTCACAAAAACTCACAAAACAAATGCAACCAATAAACACAGGCAAGCAAAAAAGATTTTCTGTCTGATTTCTTTATTTATTCCAAAATTATTTACAAGCGTGAGAAAAAAATATATAAAAGAATATCAAAACAATGTGAGTCCAGAGCTCTTGCAAACTGTTTTCAGCCCTCCGCTGGGCTTTTGTTGCCCACCAACAGAAGATAAATCCGTCGATGCCTCGATTTATTTCGGAGGTAAATTTAAACCCGAGCCTCACAGAGCAGAGATGGCTTTGGCAGCTACACGTCTCCCCAGCGGCAGAGTCAGGTCAGTGATTGCAAGCACAACTTTAGGTTTGGCCAGAGCGGGCAGCTTCACCAACTCGTAAACCTAAATGTGCAGAAGAAAAAAGAAAATTAACTGTTATTCTGAGAGGCGGTATTTCCCAAGAAACAGTAAGAATTTTATTGTGTTGCTCAAGGCTAATTGTCATTCCTTTTTGAGTGGGTGTGTTCCTGACCCTTGATCTGGTTTTCATGGGACACTCATTGTAAAATATAACTAGAACAAAAGAAAAGAATTAAGAAATACTTTTTCTCAGAACTAGAAAAAGATGTTCCACTAAATCAGATAAGTTGCCTCTGTCTTGCCTGTCAGTGCGCCCCAGGATGGCTGTGGCTACAATGTAGCTTGTCATCACCAGTGTGTGAATGTGTGGATGACTGAATGTGTAAAGCGCTTTGGGGTCCTTAGGGACTAGTAAAGCTATACAAATACAGGCCATTTACCATTTTTTGTCCATTACTCTTTTTTTCCTCTCCTTTCTGTTATCAATTCTGGTTTGTTCTTGGCATTTTATTCCATTTCAAACTCTGCACGCGTTTTGAAAATGTGGCAACCCTAACATTTCGAAGCTTGTAGGAGTGATTAATATCTCTTGCAAATGCAAGAAGCATCTGTGCTATGACCTTCAGACTCCCTCTTGATCTTATCAGAACACTCAGTCTTTAAAGGCAGTAGAACACTTGTAAGCAGGATTCCTGAACCCTTCCCGATAATATCTAAAGAAGCAGTCATCCTTCTCCCTCCTTTATCTCCACCTGTCTGGCCTCTCCCCTCACAGCTCATAACTCACCATTGTAAAAGGCATGAACTGCAGGATGCTCCCACGGCTTCCCTGCTCCAGACACTCAACACACTCCTCCATGAAGCTCTGCACAAACTGGGTGTGAGGTCCAGCCATCTTTGAGCCAAGGATGGAGGAAATGAGGAGAAAAAGGTTGGCTAAAAGAAAGAGAACAGATGGTAAGTACTATCCTGCTGAATTATTTTATATCCCAAATCAAATCATCCCCAATATCAACACCACTGACAAGATGAGTAGTAGCTGCAGTGCACTGCTGGGCTGGGTGTTAGCATTCTTTGGCATGAACCACCCATCTAAATGTTTTGATGCATGTTTAATCATCCAGGTAAGTAAATCTGTTCATCAGGAGAGCATCTAACAAAAAAAGGCTAGGTCCAGATTAACCCAATCAACTTTCTAAATGTTATTGCTGATCAAGCGCTTTCATTTGTTGTAATGGCACTCCCTGATGACAGCAGTTTCCCAAAGCAGCACACTACACTCTGCCACACTGCAGAAACTGCTCGACAAAGGTTCGAGTAAATGACAAAAAGCCTAAGAACCCCAGTCTCCCCAGATCTTAATTTAAATGAGCATACACGGAAGGCGGTTGACCCAAGGTGGTCCCACCCCAGAAACCCAGACATTGTCATGTTTATCGTTTGGCCCGTGAAAGTTTGGATGATAACCCTTTTTTGTGCCTTTTTATAACACCACAGTGGATTTTCAGCCAAATAATCTGAAATACTTGACTGGAAAGAAGACTTTCACTTTGAATTTAAAGAGCTTAACACAAGTAGTGCATTAAACACTTAGGAATGACATCCATTTTAATATATGGTGCCCCATTTTCAGGTGCTCAAAAGTAATTGGACAAACTAACAAAGTTAACTATACTGATTGCCGCAAGCGCCTTCAATTGCCGCTTATTAGTGGGTCTCTCTGCAGTGCTCACTTGGGTTGACTGACTTGGCCGCTGAAGAATATCCCACTTCTTTGCCTCGAGAAACTCTTGGGCTGGTTTTTTCAGCATGCTTTGGGTCATTATCCATTTGCATCGTGAAATGCTGACTAATCAGTTTTGCAGACTTTGGCTGATTCTGAGAGACAGCACAGCCCCATGCATTTAACACTTCATCCTGCTACTTCCATCAGCAGTCACACCATCAACAAATTTTCCATTGACGAAGGTGTCTCTTGATGGTAGACCTTTAAATGCTACGCCTACATCCTCAATGTGTTTTTGATGTGGTTATATGCTTAAAGGAAATAATTCTGTGATCATGCACTTTTGTTTTCTTCTGTGGTCTTTAACACTGTTTGGTTTTGCTGAGTTGACCACTTCATGCTTTTTTTTTTCTCACCATCTCTCTAAGTTTTATTTTGATTTCCGTTAGTCTAATGAAAGTCTTCTCTGCTTGCATCTCTTTGGACTTCATTGTGAAAGCTCCAGTGATAAGACAAATACAAGTTCAACACATGGAATCAACTACAGATATTATAAACTGTTAGTGTGTCATGATATAAAGAGGAAACAGGCTTCACCTAGTCATGAATCCGCTTTTCAGTAAATATCCAATTATTTCCAAGCCTCAGAAAATGGGCATTATGAATAAAAATGGTTGCAATTCCTAAGCAGTTGATGTAATACTTTTGTTAAACTTAAAATAAAGCTTAAAGCTTTTGCACTTTAATTACAACGTTTTGGTCTAAAATCTTTTGTGTTGTTTTGCAGAGGCAAAAAAAGGTTCTTTCTAATATATTTAAAAAAAAAAAAATCATGCAAATTTTAAAAAGTCACATTCATATAAAATATAGCATTCTTGCTAACTTTAAACATGCAAAATATAATTCTCAGTAATGTCAGACATTTCTTTTAGCGTGACTTTGATTGAAAAAAAAAACAAAACATCACACTAAAATTCACTTTACATGAAAATAATGAGTGTCTTAGCTCTGTGTTTGGCCTTGCAAACATATTCAAGGGCTGGATGAGGTCCCATTGGGCCTTCAGAATTGGAGATCTTGTGGCTTTAATCACAGCAACATACCAGCCTCTCCAGTTTCCCATCAAATCGTTTCCTTGATTAGTTAATTCAGGATTTTTCTTGAATTTGTTCATCGTAATTTAGACATTTCTATTAAAGAAATGGGGATGAGAGAAAAGAGATGCTGGTAAAATTCTCACCCAGGACTCGGTTGAGGGGGTCCCTCATGTTGACAGTGTGGAGCTGTGAGGCAGATAGAGAGCTGCTCATAGACCGGTCTCCTGCAGGAAGACAAGGAAGATGTGATGGATGAGTTGACAAGTTTCATTTTCGTTCTACTAATTTAGTCATTCGAGGAAATTTTATCCCCCCCAAAAAGAAAAAAAACATTTAAAAATCTAGAGGATGTGAAAAAGGAAGTTAAGGATTTGTTGACGGTTGGTTTCCACTGCAGTCTTACATCATAATCATAATTCCTGGAATAAGACATTTCAATGATACTAAAAATGAAAAGATGATTTTTTTTAATGAAAAAAATTAATTCTGATTTTTTTCTTAACATGGAAAATAAATGTTTCTTTCTCCTTGCGCTAAAAGATGTATTTTATTCATAATAAAATTTTAAAAAGTCTATAAAGTGAGGCATTCGGCGTTGATGAACGGTTTCTAAATGATTGACTTTACGTAGCAAGAAAACCAGTGTCACTTTCAGTCTTAACATCAAAGCATTTTTTTCCTAAGTCATGCAACACTGAAGTTTGACATCCTGTGTGGGGGTTTCTGTGTAAAACTAAACAAGGGAAAATTTCCATAGCAGTTAATATAAATGCTCATTACTTTAAGTCATGTGAATAGCAGGGTGAAGGGGGTATGCTAACTGCACAATTGCTCAAAGCAAGAAGCACTGGATGGCAACGTTCAAGTTAGAACCTGCTGGCAGCCAATGCACTTGAAGGATAATTAATGAGGAGGAAGACCAGTTCACAAAGCATTTTAAGTGCTTACTAGAAGTAACTTGCTGTTACAGTTCTGAAACTCTCTGGTATTACCACCATTATCATCCCCAGCTCAGACATCTGTAAACCACAGGCTTTATCATTTGACGGTGTATTCAAATCCAGGCACAAAGGGGCCTAACCTGGACTGGAAAGGGCTACAGGTTCATCCTCGTTGGAGCTGAGCAGCCGCATGAGTTTAGATGGTTGAGTGTCATCCAAGGGAAAGAGGCTGTTGTAGTCCTGCAGGGAATAATAAAGGAATCATGTCAGTATTTTTACACTCAAACACGTCCTCTTACAGAAAACATGTTCTCCTAATTTTAGCAAGTTTTAAAATTTTTATTTTTAAAGAGCTTCTTTACCTCAATATCTTCTCTCTGCCTTTTGCGCTGGCGAGCTGAGAAAGAACCTTTGTGGTGAGAGGAGTAAGAGCTGAGTGCGCACCACACAGACAGCCTGAGGGGACATCCAGAGACAAAAGTCAAAACCGGAAGTCAAAAACGCCACAGCGACTGCTGCCCTTAGGGTATTAAGCTTCTCTTACTTGGCCAGTGCCTTTCCAGGTGGGTCTGCCAGGCTGCGCCAGTGGGCGGAGTCTGTGAGTAGATTGGGCAGTATGGTACCTAGCAGCGTGAGGGTGATCTGCTGGGTGTCCAAGCAGAAGATGCTGTAGAGTAACTCTACCACTCGATTGGCCCACTCCTGCCGTGTCTCCTTTAACAGTTCCTGTGTTAAGAAACAGTTTCATGTTTTCAAAAACTGGACATTGATTTGAATAAAATGAGATTAGTGACCATTAGTGCAACGGAATAATGTCAACAGTGTTTTATGCACAAATGTTTGCACAACCGACAACACGGACTCCTACGAACACTATTTAAGGTCAATGACGTGCAAAGAAACAGCTACAGGCTTGGGTAAAAAACAAGTACATAAATACATCACATATTCGTCAACATTTTATGAGGAAATTAATGCATGCAAAGCTTTTCTTTATCTAATGTAACCACATTGGTTTCACTAACGTCTTTGCTCTGGCTCGATGTTCTCACTTTTTCTGCTTAAATTTCAAAATTTAACTATGTTTCTGGCTAACGGTTGCTCAAGTAAAGTTGTAATAGATCAAGGAAGCCAATAAAGAAAATCTTCAAGTTAAAAAATAAATAAATAAAAATAATTCGCCTTTAAAGATCGATAGTGTTGCCGATGGTCACTGCATAAACCATCAGACCTTTTATCCCCGTACCTTGACCAGATTGTTAGTGAACCAGAAGACACCTCCCATGTTGAGAAGACTCTCGAACAGATGCAGAGCTCGGCTGTCCACCCAGCCTTTACGCAGCACTGCCTGGAACTGTTTGCTGAGGGCCGTATGGATGGGTTCTTTGGGTGGCAGCAGGTTGCGGTAGGGGATCGGCTCCTGGCCCTCCACTGGGGACCGCAGGGTGGCACCCGTCTGTTGGAAGACGTCGGCGCACATGTGCTCCATGATGGAGCTCATTATGATCACGCTGGTGAGATTGTGGAAGAAAATGATGTTACTTTTAACTCGGGTGATGAGAGACGGAGAATCAAACTGAATCCAGAACAAGGAAATTTCTCAGAATTTGTAAAATATAAAGTCGGTGGGTGCTGGTGTGGATGTGCTCTTTATGCGTTTGTACCGTTCATTGTAAAACTGCAGAGTGTTCTCCCCATAAAGTGGCGTTACAAGCTGCCGGATCATAGTTTGGGGCTTCTCCCTCTCATCTCTTCCAAGCATCCGGACATGGGCTACCAACCATGCCACCGCACAGATGGCCATGCTGCACACTTTGCCCTTGATATTGTCAGTAATCTTCTACGCTTGCAATGGCAGCACCCAGGAAAGAGGAAGGATGTGATTAGCAGAATGAAGAGAAGGAAGGGTTAGAGACTGTCGAATTCTGACTAAAATGGGCATCCTCCCACTTTGCATTAGAAAACAAAGTTGAAAGGAATAGGGAAGAAGTGACAAGTTGGCTACACCTATTAGACGTCACTAATGATGCGCGTTTTCACAGCTTTTTTTTTTTTTTTTTTTACTCAAGTAATCTCGACATATTCAGTGGAAAATGTCAAGTCATGACTCAACGAAATACAAGGGTGGGAAGGGTTGAAACCTGAAAATCATATGAGATACTTAGTCAAAGGAGCTTGCAAAGAAAAGCATCTGGACTTCTTTAAGACGCTTTTCTTTGCTAGCTCCTTTGACTACGATCACCTGGATGACTGAGAACCTTCACAGACATGAGATACTTAGGAAACCACAAGAAATCTTTATTACCCACAGGAAGGAAAAATAGTGAAGCTAGACAAACCTGGACCGCCTCTGCAGAAAGCACACCATTCTCCCATGCATTCAAGACTTCCAGTATGGCCGCTGGAATGCTAAGGCAGATCTCATGCCATTTCACCTGCCTGTCACAAGGTTAGGAAAAAAAACCCACATTCAGAGCATTGCTGGCCACGTTTAAGACATTTCTAAACACTAAATAAGTGCAAGTTAAAATCAGAAACATTTATGTCAAACAAAAATACAGTACAGTAAAAAACTGTGCTCTTTTACGTCTATCGTAATTGTTATTCAGGCATGTAAATGAAGTTCAGGGTGTTAAGCAACTTCATGACGGGGTTGAGTATGCCACCATCTAAAGAAAAGATCTAAAGTTAATTACCGCAGCAATGCCAGGCAACATCTGCACTGACTGTAAATGATTCATTTACAGATTTCACTCACACTAGTTTCATCTCTGATGAGTTGTTCAGCAGGGTCACCAGGCTCTCCACTTTCCCAGGCTCGGGTCTGAAGCAGGGGTTTTCTGGGTTCAGAGTCTTGCCCTCTTCAGGCATACATGTCTGCAGCCACGTTTCGAAGAAGGGCGTCTCTCCTGAAGGACTGGGGTCTGACAGGATCACCTGGACAAAAGTCAGCTGATCACAGTCTGCTCAAAAAGACAGTATCTCTACTGTTTATTATTTTGAGGTGACCACCACATTTTTCTCCCTTTTTAACGCTAGCGAAGACCTTTATAGAATATTTTAATATGCAAAAAAGCCTTGTTGCTTAATACAGATGCAAAGTAAGTCTGTCCACAATTAACATAGTTAAGACTTGAATTTTCAACGACATAAAACTCATTTTTACATCGCAGGGCCACATACAGCCTACCAGAGAAATCCCCTTTCTGTCAGCATAAAGAAGTTTAACTACACATTTAACTCCTGAGATCTCTTAATAAAAGAAAAAGGAAAAATTCTCTTTTTAAAAAAAATATTTTGTCAAGATAAAGAAATGTTGCAGTTGTAAATTAAAGAAATTCTAAAATTAAATTAAATTTAAAACTCTTTGGGCTTAAATTGTAAGAGATGTGTAAAATGACATTGGAATTGTTGGCAGCTCTGTGTAATTATTGCCCTGTAAGTATAAAAGCTTTTGTTAATTCACAAAAACTGTTTTTTTAAACAGTGGATTCACTGTAAAATTATATATAAATAAAGTAATTTCTATAGTATGCAGTGAAAAAAAACATTTCATACACATCTATTACCTAATTATAACAGTGCAGTATGAATGACGATGGGCAATGTCTTTGTCAGTAGTAAAAGTTTTAAAACTTGTGAAAACAGAAAGTCTTCTGTTACATTTTCCAAAGCCGTCCAGCGAGCTGCAATAAAGCCATTCCTGGGCTGTTTTTGTGCACTTGAACTTTGTCAAACTGAACTAACCTCAGATCCATATGTCTGCACCACGTGGCAGAGCATGAGGAAGGAGATGTCGAAGAGCAGAGCCCGTACAGACGCAGACTTGGCTAACGGAAAGGAGGAGAACATCCACAGTGTTAGTATCCCACTGAAAGATCGTGTGAATGAAAGAAGAAATTCCCTATTCGGAACATGCCACTCTTGTATTTGAACTCACATCCTTCCCCGCTGATGTGCTTGGGAAACTCATTAAGCCTGGAACAAAACAGGGGGATGAAACATTACACAGTAACACACGAAAACTTCACGTTCAAGATGACGTTGCACATAATCTCCCAACACTTGAACATTGCCGGTCTTACAAAGTTCTTGTTACTAAAAGTTCAAAAGCGTAATTTACTCACTTAATGAACTTCCGGGCAAAGGATTTGAGTTTCCCAGTGGCTGCTGCTGCAGCCAGGAGCAGATCTAGGCTCTTCCCAGACAACATGTGGCCAAGAACACCGAGCAGACCCTCAGGAGACTTAGAGTGGTCTGCATCTACTGTCTAATGAACAAAGATGGAAAACTTATACTCGTATTTTTTTTTAAAAAAACCCCACTAAGCTGTTGTAATGTTGTGACCTTTAAAACACATTGATTCTGATATTTTCAGACATTAGGTCTCATTGGTTGTGGATCACTTTTACAATCATATACATGATTCTCTGAACCTTCTTTGGCACTTCTGTCAATGGCCAACACTACATCTGCATTTTGATTTAATTTAATTAAAAACATGCACAATTCAAACATGATTATGGGGTGCTACCTTGAGAATATTGGTAACAGTGGGCTCCGCCCTCAGGATGAGGCCTGGGTTAGGCTGGATGTTAGCATTTTCTGCAGTCTTTAGCCTGGGGGCGAACTCCCTGTCCTCGGTCCTGAATCAAATTTGCAGGGGGAGAAGGATAAAAAGGGACGGGGAAGAGGATGGGGATAGGATGGAGGTGTTGGGGGAAATGACATGAATATAGTGGATAAAATTCCATTCTCATTTCTCATCAATATAATTAAAATTTTTAAAAAGAAATATAGGTAATCTTTGTCCTAAAATATCCATAATCGCATGTTTTCTGATAGCAGAGAAACCCATACCGCTTTGATGTGAGGTTAACTGTATTTGAATCCGACAGCAGCCCGAGTTTATTACACTCTGTCAGGAGCATTCCAAGGCAATCACAGCTACGTAAAGAAGCAAAAGGGAAAAATTTTTAAAAATTGGAACATCATTGAACTTGGTATATACAGGTAAACATAAACAGCTATACTATTAGAATACAAGATGGTAAATGGAAGATGGGTAATAATTCTAATAATAGCCGCTTTAACAATGTCACAGACGGCAGCACCTGAATATAAAAGATATTTAATTACTGCCATTTCAGTTCAACTCAATTATATAATGTCAAATCACAAAAACAGTCACCTCACGGTGCTTTATATTATAAGGTAAAGACCCCTGCAGTAATACAGAGAAACCCTAACAATCAGATGACCTCCTATGGGCAAGCACTTGGCGACACTGGGAAGGAAAAACTCCCATTTCACAGGAAGAAGCCTACGGCAGAACCAGGCTTAGTAGCTATAGCTGCTTGTGTTATCTATATAATCTTATTATGAGATCAGGGGCATCTCCAGTGACATTTACGAACACTTACTTGCATCTCTGATCTGCTTTGTCCAGGAGTGGCGTAAGCTTAAGTAAGTACTGAAATGCTATGTTCACATCCTCCATGAAATCCTGGGAAAAACGTTTGCAACGATTGAAAGTGACAAAGACCGTTTATGACATTACACACCCAGCGCTCCATATCTAGGTGTTAACTTCCAATACAAAGATCAGTCAGTCATTTACTTTACCTGTCCTCTGTCACTCTGAGGATATTTCTTTAGTCGGAGTAGAACTTGTGGGATCTGAGATTAAGAAATCACAAGTTAATTTCATCTGATTTCTGTGAAGGGTAGACAGTAATATTACTACCAAATCAGTTTCATGCAGACAGCTCAGAGGGGAGATTTAAAAATCACCGCACAAAATTTTGCACACTATTCCTTCTCTAAACTACAATAAAAATCCACAACAAACAGAGTCAAGGAAGCAGGCAATGATATAAACAACAAGTAAAAGCAGCAAAAGGCAGACAAAAAGACAACAGATGACCAAGTTTTCCTCGTTGAAGTGGATCTAACCTTAAGGAAAGTAAAAGCAGTCCATTTAAGCTCCTCTGTGCCCTCTGGTGACTCAATGAGGCCAGTGAAGCAAGCTTTCCATATCTCCAGGACAAAAAGGGGAGCAGGGATTCTCTGATGGGAATAGAAAGATTCCATTTGCATCACACAAAACCTCACCAGGAAAGGCTGCGTAATACTTTGGCCAAAAGCTGAACATTTTCTTTTTTGTGTGTAATGAAATTCCTTTGTCTTATAAAATCTGACAGTCTAAATTTTTACAGTTTTTTTTTTCCCACAGCTTAGTATTCACCTGCATTCTTTTGATCATCATTAACTGCTCCACCAGTGGCTGTATCTCTCCTGTCAAATTCATAGTGCCTTCCAGCATGATGAAGGCATGAACTGATGGAAAAGAGGCATAAACTGGAGGGTCACTCTGCTCAGACAGCATCAGGGGAATACTGAAGAAGAGAGTGAAGAAATCGGCACAAAGAAGTCAGATTGGACGCTTGAAACTATTGTCAAATTAGGATCATTTGCTCATTATTAACATGTCAGCCTCACCTTTTTACTAGTGACAAGCTCTCCTCTAATTTAGTATGCAGTTTTGAGTTAGTCACACTACTAAGACCATCTGTCAAATTAAGCATAGCTTGCTCTACATTGCTCCAGGAACCTGTGGAGGAAAAGCAGCAGCAGAAACAGTGTTTAGATGCCACGCTCGGCACAAAAACACACATTCAAGATTTGGCCAAAAATGACAGTTTTAGCTTAAGTGAAATTTTTTAATCACTATGGCTGACTGCCAATAATTTTGCCAATTGCCAGATTGCACACATATGCAGGTGTTTGCCTTAGAATTACTTAATATTAAAAGGTAAATAAACTGCCAATAAACTTTTGAGAGCATGTTAATAGAGCCTCGGGTAATTTATACACTATTGTACTGATACATCAGCAGATTACAGCCAGACTTCACTGAGCACAACCCTGTGTGTAAACAAATACCCACACACACTTCTATACCTTGGTCCTCCAATCTGGCAATGTGGACCAAAGCTCTGTTCTTGGTGCTGGTCATCAAACTCTGGAGCCTTTCCTGGCAGGCTCCAAGACTGGTCTCTGTGCTCGCTGATGGACCCAGTTCTCTGAGCTTCTCACAGTACCACGCGCAGCCCTGCAGCAGCCACACTACCACTGCCAGCAGAGCCCGACAAAGCCCGATGCATTCCTCTGTTTTTCCGTGACAGCTGGATCAATAAGAGACAAGAAGCAGTGACATTTTAAGCAAGATACACACTCACTGGTCCCTTTATTAGGTACACCTTGCTAGTACAGGGCTGGATCTCATCGGCTTCATGGTTTGTCGTGTTGTTTGATGTGTTGTGCATTTAGAGATGCTCTTCTGCAAACCTTGGTTCTAAAAAACATTTCTGCATCCATCAGAATTTTAAAAGACGTGAATTAGATTCATGCAGATGCATTAGAAACACTTAACATACCTAAGGCGATGGCAGAACATGTCCATTATTTCTAACAGTGACTTGACGCAGAGCTCCCGGGAAAAATCATCAAACTGTCACAGAAAAGACAAGTATTAAGATCATTCACATTTTCTTATAGTAAAAACAATTTTGCATTGAGTATTGTCATGCAGAAAACTACCTTGCTGATAGCCATAAGCACACTGGAATAAGACACCATCTATGGCAAGAGAGGAGACAAATAACAACATGCGAAACAACCAACAAGGTTAGATAATCTTCTCAGTTTCACACGTTTTCATTTGCTTTTTAAAAAATAAATAAATAAATACAAGTGCTTTATCTCACCTGTGAACTTATGGCATATTTGAGATAAGACAAGATGAGTGGGTTAGGGGATGGTCCAATCATCGCCTGCTCCATCAAAGCCTCTGAATTATATACAAGGAACAGTTAGAGCAACTTTAGAAAACACAAGAACCGGTATACTTAAACAGACTACTACCAACCTGCAAGGTTGAGATAGTCCCATGTTACTCCCTTTGGGAAGTTTTTCTTGATGTTGATGGCCCACTGGTAGTCACTCCAACGATCTTTCCAAGCCTGCAGAATGGCTTGCTTCAAATTGACCATTTTCATCCTGGCGGGGGAAAAGATCAATAAAAATGGCCACCATTCAGTCACTGTTCGTTTTTTCGCTGTAACACTCAAGCTTATTTTACACTATTTCCTAGCTACGTTAGCTCATGCTATTTGCTAATGAAATAGTTAAAGAAAACTTCTCCTGTCGGATACAGAAAACAAACAGTTTTCACAATAAATTAACACCAAAACGAGTCTTAAAGCGGTGCTAAATCTGATACCTACCTGACGCTTTGAGTTTTTAGAAGCTTACGCTAAAATATATTTGTTTATAGGACCCCAGCTTCACGACGCAAGAAGCGACGTTTTTGTTTTGAAAGACGTCCCCGTTCATTGGTTAATCTCCTGACGTTTCAGTATTCTTCGCGCGGATTGGTTGAAGGGGAATACCGGCAGAGCTCCGCTCGACTAGCAGCAGATGACGCTGTTTACAAAGGTAAGAATCATAGCTCGGCCACTGTATTTATACCCCTTTCTATACATAAGGAAATGAAGGCAGCAAAAATGTTGTTGTGCCTTCCAGCTAAAGGTAAAACATGAAACCAAAGAACTGAATCATTTTCTAATATAAACAGCTATTTTAGCCTGACCCGTGTGATGTCTTGTTAGCCGTTTGCAGTGTCGTTTTGTTTGTTAGTGAAAATGAAGGAAAGTATAGTTCTTGCAGAGGCATGACTTAGTATTTTTTGTGTTATGCAACTTTTTGTTTCTACTCCTTTAAATTTTGGAGGCAAATACAGGACTTTATACACCACCTCATTTATTGGAGATTTTAGCTAGGTTTAGTTTACTCAGCAGTATGAAGAACAAGTAAAACTAGCTACAACTACCATATTAAACTTGTTTACACAATATTGATTTGGTGATATTCTGAAATGAATCCTTATGGCTAATAAGTGCTTTTGCTTTAGGTATTTTTTAGAACAAATTTTTCTAATATACTTGCAGTTTTCCAGGCCAATGATGTATTTACTTATAAATTTCAGCAGCCCCACGTGTGTAGGTGTTATTATTATTGCTTTTTTATGACATAACAAACCTAAAATAAACCCAAACTTAACTTAGTAACAACTAGTGTTTGTTTCCACGTTAACTGGTTTTTTCTTGTACTTTTAGCTGTAAAATGATGACATAAGTTATACCTGATATAACTAAGTTTCATTTATTTTGTTTGATTATTTCATCCATGCATACAGTGAAATGCATTGTTGTCTTACATAACCACCTCATTCAGCTGTGTGATTCACTACCTCAGTGTACCTCTTTTGTGTGTGCCAGTCCAGTCCCTTTCAGCAGGATTTTGTTTATTATGTCAGAATGTTGAGGTGAAAAAAAAAAGCAAAACAGGACATGTGTCTTTACAACAGTTCACACTCTTAGAAAGCCAGAAAGAAACAAGGGTGGAATAAACTATGAGCACATGTGGAAATGGCTCCTTTATTTAGATTTAAATAAATAAACAATCTGGTTACTCACAAAGCACATGCTCAAGAAGAAAATATATTCAGAACAATGCTGAAAGTGGCACTGGTATTTAAAAAAATTCTACTCAGGCAGGGGTTTCTCTATCTCCTTTTAACTTTTGAACTCAGTTGTATTTCATGCTAAAAGGGATATTGTTCTCTATATCAAAACCACCCAACTACTTCTGTTAGGGAATATCCTGTATTGAGTTTATGACTACAAAGACCCTTATTCTGCCTGACACTGGAGACGGTGTCCTGATAGAGCGAAGTCTGTGTCCTGGGACGGCCCTGTGCCAGCCAGCAAGAGATGATCCATGCGTCCTGGCGTTGTCTTGGTAGGTGAGGGTTGGAGAGATTATGAAGTTGTGAGGTGTGTGTGTGCAGCGGTGAATTTGGGCAGAGTGATCTTATCCCCTCTGCCTTCTACATAGTGGAGAGCTGCATTAGTGGAGGGTACTGAGAGATTTGAGTCTACCCCTGGGGAGACCAGAGAGACTGAAGTCACAGCTCTGTGTCTGTTCTCATGACTTCACTGCCGGGACAGACCCAGTTTTGCTGACTCTTATTTTTCTTCTATGTAAGCTATTGAGTAATCCCATTATAATGGGACTCACTAGTGTTTAGTTTGTGGTGCTCAAAGTCTCCCAGGATTACCTGGATGTAGATACTTTCACTATGAAAGAACCCTGTATTGACAACTTATCTAATTTTGAAAATGGCACATAGTTTTTAAAGTATTATTTTCAGATGCTTATTATTTTTTAAAACTAAATTTTTTTTAAATTCTCTCAACACCACCAATACCTTTCAGCTACATAATAATGAGATAAACATAAGCTACTATCTCCAAACACCAGCAATTAACAGTGAAACAATGTGGATTATGTGTTGCGTTGTGTTTTGTGTAATCAATTTATCAAATCCATTAGGGCCCATTGCTTAATAAACCATAAGCATCCACCTGTACGGGATGCACAGAGAGGCAGAAGATAATGATCCCTATGAAAGAGCAGAACTAAATAAATGTGATATTTCATAGCATGTGTTCCTATTAGATCTTTATATCTGTTATACTTCTCTATTCTGTTTTTTTTAAACACAACATTACTGTCATTCATTCTCTCCTGGGGCCTCTGGGCACACCGAGATAATTACCAAGGGTTCAGAACCAGGAAATGAGAGTGGCCCTCTCCTGTCCCCTCAGGTTGTCCAGTGATGTTGCTTCATGAATCAGGATAGACTAGAGGCAACTACTGTAACCAAGAGAAGCTAAAGCACATGATGTGTCAGTACGTTTAATGTTGCATACAGCTTCTTTCTCTCAGGTTTGAACTCAAAATGAAAGTCTTTCTGGAGGGTGATGTAGAAACAGCAGCTTTAACATAGGTGAACAGTAAAGTGAGAGACATGAACATCTGGTTAAAGCTGTTAAAGTCATGGCAACCGACTTTGGGAATAACATGTGTATGGGGAGGCTTTCTAAATATGCTGACCCACTCTTGTAATACAAACAATGTACATAGGAAATGCACAGTTGCAGTAAATAACATTATAACAAATTTATATGCACTAAACACTCACCTTCCACTTCATTAGTTACACCTTGTTAGTTGTGGGTTGAAACCACTTTGCCTTCAGAACTGCCTTAATTCTTCATGGCATAGATTTAACAAGGTGAACATTCCTCAGGGATTTTGGTCCATACTGACATGAGAGCTTCATGCTATGTTATACTGAGATCTGGTGACTGTGGAGTCCATTTGAGGACAGTGAACTCATTGTGATGCTCAAGAAAGCAGTTTGAGATTATCTGAGCTTTGTGACATGGTGTGCTATCCTGCTGGAAGCAAGCAGCCATCAGAAGATGGGTACACTGTGGTCATAAATGGACAAACAGGAACAACATTCTGGTGGTGTGTTAAATGATGCTCTGCTGGTAAAAGTAAAAGTATTCCTTACATCATTATATTACCTCCAGACTAAATCATTGACACAAGGCAGGAGGGCTTCACGCTTTCATGCTGTTTATGCCAAATTCTGAGTCTAGAATTTGAATGTTGCTGCAGAAACGGAAACTCATTGCAACGTTTTTCCAATCCTCTATTGTCCAGTTTTTTTTAGCCTCAGTTAGCTGACAGGAGTAGCACCAGGTATCATTTTATGCTGCTGTAGCCCATCTGCTTCAAGATTCAGTTTGCTGTACAAGAGGTACTGTTCTGCATACCTTGGATTTAACAAGTGATTGTTTGAGTTGCTGTTGCCATCTAGTCTTGCCCATCCTCTGATCTCTAACATAAATAAGACATTTTCAACCAGAGAAATTTACTCTCTGAATATGTTGTCTTTTTCATACCATTTTCTGTGAGCCCTACAGATGGTTGTGTGGGAAAATCCAAGCAAATGAGCAGTTTTTGAAACAAGCCCGTCTGGCACTAACAACCATGCCACCTCCAAAATCACCTTTCCTCTCCATTCTGAGCCTCGGTTTAGACTTCATCAGGCTGCCTTGACAATGTCGAAAAGACTAAATGTGTTGAGTTGTTTTTACCCATATTATATCTGTCTTACTGATGTGTATAGTGAAGTTGAGGATAATAATTTTGCTAAAATAAAACAATAAACTTGTCATTTGATATAATAGAGAATTTCAAAATATTTCCATTTCTAGTGTTTGTGTTACAGCGCATTTATAGAACAGACAAAGAGCCCAAAATATCAGGAATAATAGCCCACGCTTTAAGAAAAAACACACACACACACACTTGGAACTACAACATACAACTGAGGACTGTAGCACTAACAAAATACCTGTAGCTAGCAAAATTCTTTTATTATTATTATTATTTTTAATCTATGCAGTCTTTTAACGTCTACTGGGGCACGGCTTACAGCCGTGGGCTTTTTACACAGGATGACAAGGATGGGTTGTAGGATAAGGCTGTTGTGTCTCTTCCATTTGGGCTACTACAAAACACATCTCAGTAATTGGATAAAGTCCCATCACACTTCAGGATCAGTTTGTACTGTCACTCAGCAGCGCTTTCAACTGGTTTTATTTTCATTTGTCTGACTAGAGACTGCTCTGGCATACAAACTGTTGTGAAGTGTCTGCTTGTAAAAATACATTGCGTGTCTTTATAGGATATATTTATTTATACCTCACTTCAATATAGTAATATCTGTCTCTAGATTATGTTGCTGCTATCATATTAAATCGTTGTCTGTTTTTATATAACATTATATTAACCATTTTTTGCAGCATTCAATGAGCTTTGAACTACTTAAATTCCATTTAGTAATATTCTCAGTCATAGTAACACAGATTTCAGAAGTATCTTTCATTGAGTGATGCTACCACAGCAGCTAATCAAGAGTACTTCGAATATTGAAATGCTGGCGAGGGATTAGAGCCACATGTGGTTTGACACCAAACAGCTTTATATAGCTGCTTCAACACAGTTTTCCCCCATTTTACTGTCATCAGCAATTCAGCCTACAGGGAATGTGTTCCAGCATTATTTATAACTAGTCTATATGGGCTAGGTGGCAGAGATCCTAGCCAGGCTATGTCTTGCATCCTTTCATATAGTTTAATTACATTTTAGTAGGTGTAAGAGTTTCTTTCTTTTTTTTTTAGATCATATCAGTAAATGTTTCTGTCCAGACCCCAGCTGGCTTCTTCGTCTATTCCCTGGGAGTCACAGAGGGGACATTCCCATGGGATCCAGGTTGTCAAGTCTGTTGCATAATTCAAGTCATTCTATCTATCTAGCTATCTGGCTATCTATCGTAGGCTGAAGCCTATCTGTGCTATCACTGGGTGAGAGGTGGGATTCACCCTGAACCGATTGACAGCCACAGGGCTAACACGCAGACACTGACAACATAAACACTTACGGCCAGTTTAGACTCAACAGCTAACCTTCATGCATGCCTTTGGACTATAAACTCCACACAGAATGGCAGCAGGTACCGACCTGATAACAGCTAACCACTGCACTACAAAATACAACAATTAATGGCGGTGTATTGTAATAGTAACAAAAGCATAGGCTGTTTACAGTATTTTTTGTTTTTTACATTTTTAAGTTATGCATGTTGAGATGTGTTTGAAATAAATTGTTTTATACATCAGGACTCCATAAAAAATCATCTGGTCCATAGCAGGTTTTAAAATGATGGTATTACAATCAAAGATGAGCTACAAAGCATGAAATATTACACTGTGTTGTTATTTGTCTAACAAACCCTAATCCAAAATGCGGGCGCAGTATACAGCATATGCTTCAATAGCTTCTAGAAAGACCTTCAGCAGCAATAACTTGAAGTAACTGTTTTCTGAATGACTTTATCAGTGTCTTGCATCATTGTGGAGGAATTTTGGCCCACTCTTCTTTACAACATTGTTTAATTTCATTGACGCACGTGGGCATTTGTTCATGCACAGCTGTCTTATGGTCCCGCCACAGCATTTCATTAAAAGTGAAGTCTGGACTTGTAAATACACCCTCACTGCTTCCAGAGGAGAATCAAATGCACTTGATTAACTGATCATGGGGAAGTGTGAGCACCTCTATAAAAGCAGACGATTTGGCAGTTTGCAGGTCTGGAGCATGCAGGTCTGTGTTAGCAAAATGCCAACTAGGAAATACATCATTAATGAACTTAAAGAAGCAACTGCTGTTTCCAATCAATCTGAGAAGAACTGTATGGCCATTTGAAGTTTTTCATTCTAGAGTGGGATTTATTATTTGTTGTGGAAAAGAGTTGAGACAGTTGCTAATACTCGCAGGAGTGGACGTCCCAGCAAATTCACCCCAAGGTCAGACCGTACAAATCTCAGAGAAACTGCAAAAAACCCACAGGCTACATCTTAGACTCTACAGGCTTCCATTAGCTTAAAGTTGTTAAATGATAACATTCATTACACTGTAAATGTGATTTTTTTTTTGTAGTGGTTGACAAGAGAAAACCTTATCTATCTTACAAGAACACTGCAGCATAACTTGAGTTTGCAAAATTGCATGAACAAACCACAAGAGTTTTAAAAAAGTGCCCTGTTTCGTCATAATGCACAACATTAAGGTTCCCAAAACCAAACACAGTATAAAAACATGAACACCTCACATCAACTGTCAAGCACGGTGGTGGACAGTTGATGGTTTGGGTTTGTTTTGCAGCCACAGGACTCAACAGGAGTCAACCATGTACTCCTCTGTATACCAAAGTAATCTAGAGTCAAATATGAGGCAGAAACTGAGTCATGCCACAGGACTGTGATCTCAAGCTCAGCAGAATACTATAACAGAACGACTGAAAAAGAAAATAAAAACAAGGTTGTTGTAATGACCCAGTCAAAGTCTGTTGTCAGCCCGACTTGAGACAGCTGTGTGTGGATAAATATCCACAAGCTGCAATGAAGTAAAGCAACATTGTGAAGAAGAGTGGGTCAAAATTCTTCCACTATAATGTGAGAGACTGATGAAGTCATGCAGAAAGTAAATACTTCAAGTCACTGCTGCTAAAGATGATTCCATAAGCTACTGAATCATGGGGTTTATTTAATTGTCCACACATAGCTTTTGCATTTTGGTTCAGTTTTTGTTAAATAAACCTATCCCCACTGACTGCATGTCTTTGGACTGTGGTAGAGAGCAGCAATACCTAAACCCACTGGGAGAACATGCAAACTCCACACAGAAAAGCCCTGTCCGGGTGGTCGAGTCAAACCCAGGACATTCTTGCTGCGAGGCATCAGTGCTAACCGCTGCGCTAACACCTACTACGTGAATATTTTAGAATTAACAGATAGTGCATTTTTATTTTACCACGATTTTAGGTTAATAGTGGCATATTCTACAGTTAAAGCTATAAAAGTACAATACAATTTTTATTTCATCATAATTTACCAAACTTAGAAGAAATAAAACCTCACATCCCAGCACTGACCGAGCATGACTGACTTGCCTGTAATTAATATACTGATTTGGAAAATTACTTTTAGCTAAGAATTTTGGTCCCATGATACATTGTCATATGTGTTTATATATAAACACATATAAATAAGTGAGAGCAAAATTTACTTGAGAAATTTGTGCAATTTGTTAGGGTGGATAAACGGAGGCCACAAAATACTTAGCATAGCAAGAATTCAATGGGATTTCAGTTGCTCAGGATAATTAAAACTGAAGTCAGAGTCTCCCTGTCCCAGTAGGCTACATTTTATCCTGACATGCCCTTAATTATCCAGCACCTCTTGATGTCTAATCCTACTGAGGAAGTACACCAGTTTGACATCTCAGTCCTCTAAAGACAGCTCATTTTCAGTGTTAAGTTTAACTGGCTTCCATGACCCCTGTTACAGTTGATCACTTTAAGTAAAGTTTCACATTTTCTATGTATTTCTGATACTAAGCAATGCAAAGCACAGCATACACTCCCTAGTCCATGTTATATAATCAAAGTTGGCAAAAGCTTTCAGTACAGCCTCTGTGATCCCGGTGTCAGTTAGTGCTGAGGCCCAATGCCTGATCTCAGCACAACCAGCGGTCAGCAACGTTAACCCTATAACTGGACCTCAATGTGTGTGACTTAGTCACCCCAACTTATGGCCACAGATCTCATCCAAATGACAGATAAATACATGTTTCCTTTCAGTATAGCTGCTGTTGTCAGTATGCCACTATTGTATTTGTAACTTCTGCTTTGCACACTCTGTGTGTCTTGTTAGGAGGCGATCTTTGTGATATCTCTGAAGAATTATGTCAACCCACTAACCACCAGCAGTGCAACTGTTAACAGTTGCACAATATTGTTTATGAAACCTGTATTCCCAATTTCAAATGTTTTATACAAACAATAAAATACAACATTGGCTGATATTATCTTATAATGACTTTGTTACTTAGCCTAGTTATTTTGTATGTCAAGGCTGTACCTTCCTTTAACCCAATGACAGCTGCGATGGCTCCAGCCCCCAACTTTGAATTGCATATCGAAGAAGATGGATGGAAAAAATTTAAGGACCCCAACAAAATAAATCGCTTTAGATAATTCAGAGTTTTCCCTTTCAAATAGCAGCGATAAACATATTCAGTGTTGTTTGGGCTTTAATCAGCAGTGGAAGTCCTTAAACTTAAAAGAAAAACTTCAACGTATTTTAGAAAGAGAATGAGAGTTATTACTTATAGTACTATTCAGGCCACACTGTAAGTCATGACAACAAGTCAGCATGCACAAAACTAAGATGCTGAAACTATCATCCATCTTCTTATTAACATGTGTACTTTGTCTACTGTGTTATATCAATTTGTCTTCTGTGAAAAACAGTAAGGTTTCTTTTTACTCTCTTGTAGCAAAGTCATGTGTTGTTGCCATATTGATATGAAAAAGTCAGCTGCAGGCCTCCTGCTCAATTCCCCAGGGCCAAAAGGCCTCTGGCCCCAATAGTTGTTTGTGTGTCACAGTGGTTAATTGATGAGCCTTCTTGAATAATTGGCCCAAGCCCAGGAAGTTATCTGACTGTGGTGACACGAAGCTCGATCTCTCTTCTTCACACGCCCCTCGTGGTGATGTATTACCTCACGTGAGGGCATGCTTGAGGAAACTCTAGGTTTGAATTGGACTGTACATTTCAATACATCACAGACCACACTTGGTAGAGATGAAGAAACAAAAGAGATGAAAAAAAATTCACATTGTTTTTAATTGAATATTTTAATGACTTTGAATTAAAATAAAAAGCCCAGTAGACATTTTGCTGGACATAGGAAGACTTCTACAGAGGTCAAAGGTTTTTCCAATCATCCCTTTAAGAGAAATACTTGTTTAATCATTAACTTCTGTGCAGAAAGGAAACAACAGAAAGTGAAAATTTGAAAACTAAGACAAGAATTAAATTTTAGCTTCTCAGTGTGATTTTTATCTTAGTGCTCTGGTAAAAACAGATAAATTTTGATTGTTGTATTCTATGAAAAAAAACCCCAACCCAACAACTTTGTATAAAAATAAGCAGGTTGTTCATCCTGGCTGCTCCTTATTATCATTTTTATAATCATTTTTACACTATAAATGTTTTATTTAGCTAAAACTTTAGTGTGTGCTTCTTTTTTAAGGGCTCAGGTGGGCAACATGAAAATGAAAAACAATCTTTGAAAAAAAATATTCAGTAGAAATTGAATTTAATGAATCTCTTTAATGCAGCGTGGAAGCTGTAGACACTTCACCTGTTTTTTATCACTAAAGTTTCGTGAGTAGGTGCAGAGGCTTCACACATCAGTGTGCAAAACCTTCCCAGAAGGTAATGAACATATGAATGTTCAGGGTAGGTAAAGGATGCTTCATTTATAAGCCCCAAAAAATCTATTTATGTTTCACTACATCCTACAAAAAAAGCAACATATAGCCAAGAAGTATCTTAGACTCACACGTATGACAACTTAACTGAAAACATTAGTCATTGTGACCAGCATAATAACCATTTTATGGTTCCTTTTTTCTATTTCCTATTTCTTTAAATCGGTTAAGGCCTCAGCCAAACAGGCACAGACAGTAGCTGGTGACCCTTGGCAACCACTGGTTGCTAGAGAAACTGGTGTTTCCTAACCAGTTGTTGAGGGGTTGCAGGAGGTTCCTAGCTATTGCCAGGTGAAATCGGTCATAAAGAGGGTGCTCTACCCGTCCGTATACGTCTTTGTGACCAATTTCACCCAACGACAGCCAACAGCCTCACCACCTACCAATAACCAGTTAGAAAATACAAATTTCTTCCTAGATACCAGTGGCTGCTCAGTGGCCACCGACTGGTCTCTAGGCCTGTGTGAATGAGACCTAAATCTCCTTCTTTGCACATATAGAATCTTTTGTTTGCCATAATTTTTTGTATAGGACCATGAAATACACATTTTACTGAGGTAATAATTAAGCTGAACTTTATGCTGAGCATGTTGAGGTTTGGATGATAAATTGGCATGGTATAGAATAAGGACTCTTTTTTTTAAAATCTTATTGTCCATGCCATAGAGAAAAGCTATCATGCTTAATAATTCTATATAGTTACTTTAACCTACTCTCTATATAGCAAACTACAAATAAAAGATTACTTGATTTGGTTTTAGATTTTTATTTGACAGATATATACTGTATGTTTTGATGTAGTTTTAGAAATGATTTAAATATGCAAACTGGAGACTCAAACTCCTTCTTAGAGCCTATCTACCCATTCTGTCTGAACTGGTTTTGGAAGATTAAGGTGGGAGCAATTACTTAACAAGTTAAGTCCAGGCTACACTCCACTACTTTGGTATCAATCATGAGAAATTATTTTTATTACAAGTTTTATTATAAGTAAAATACAAAAAAACTCCAAAAACAAACAAAAAAAACCTCTATGGTCATTATCCTTGCACAAAACCTTTTACTTGTTATCTGTGAATGAACATGAACAAGCGCATTTTTAAAAAAGTGTGCTTCAGTGTTTATTGCTTCTATTCTGAACTCCCTCCAGTGTCTTAACTCATTTATTAGCATATTGCTAAACTGCATTTAGCTGTCTACAGTATGTACTGTTTTAAAAGCAAAAGTCAAGTATTAAAAAAGGGAACACTGTCTTTTTTTGTGTGTGTTACTGTTGCACGTCTGACTTTTCAGCTAAATGAAGGATCAGTTTGTTGTATCATCAATAAAATGTTGTCATGTAAATCTACAATCCAAGTATAGTTTGAAATAAGCTCTCTTAGTAACATTATAACAACAGTAGTCAAATATAACCACTGTTGATGTAAACTGAATAGAAATGTCAGAGCAGTTATAAAGTTGGTTTATACATTTTGAGTATTTTAAACTTAATCTAAAAGCATTAAAGTGTTGTACACACACTCATCTGCCTAATGGGGTCATTATGCTCGCTGTGTCGCTGGTGTCGCACGCTGATTTAGATGTCACATCATCTGTTATGTACCTTGTGCTGGTTGTGTACCTCTCAATTTTTGTAACCTGACGTGTGACGCCGTGGCTGCTCGCAGCTTGGGTGAAGACACGAGTGTATGAGCGTGTCGGCTTTTACTGCCATCTTAATGATACTCCGCCACAGAAGCTCAGAGACATACAGATATACAGAGGGAGGAAAGGTTTGAGAGTCTGTGGAAAAACACTCAACAAAGTCTTGGCTTCTGATTTTGACTTCTTCTCCTCCTATATCAGCACTTATGTGGTGATATAGTATGAGTGGCAGCAAATATCATTCAAGAGAATAATGCAGCAGCTTCCTGCGCCATACTAGCAGGTTTAAATACAAGAGACTGTGAGACGAGGTTGCAGCAGTGAGCGAAGCAACCATGCTGGAGACTTTATGGTGCTCGTTCATTTAGGATACAAACAACTAAATCTTAGATTTGTGATTTAACCTAATCATAGACCCACTCTCAGACAAAATAAATCTATCAAGCAGTCTTCCTTTATCCATTTTTGACAGTCAGTTTACTGTAAATTTAATTTAACTCTGATGAAATAAACTTCAGTAGCAGTTAGTAGCAGGAAATTGACACCATACCTTTTAATTTCAGTTTGTTTTTTTAAGCATTGGGCATTCGTTGAATTAATCCCTTTAGATAATTTTATCTCACACACTTAGCTCTATAGGATGCTTGTCCCCTGATAGGTTAATATGCATAGATCCATTTTTAAAAAAAACATTAAGTGTTGTCAGTTTATACCAGTTTTGTCTTGATAGAATTCAGGATAAAGTAGTGAAAAGTGATAACATAAAGGTTTTAATTGATCTTTGCTTGTCACATAAGTGGAAAAAGTAAAAGAGCACTTCAGTGTGCATTTTTAAGGGTTGTTTATTTATTAATTTGATCAGTACAAACTTTGATATTGCCACCTGTAGCACGATTGTCTAAAATCAGTGATTAAGTTTTGTTTTACTTGACTTCTTAGTTGAACCGTATTTGCAAATGTCATCATATCTGTAGGCAGCCAAATCATGGTTTGTTAGCTTGTAAGAGGAATTAGGTCATTATAAATAGGGAGTAAATTCAGTTTCATTTCTGTTTAACACCTTCCTTTATATTCTTGTCTGGGTCCCTAGCTTGAGTTTCGAATGAAGTTGTAGACTTGTGTTGTTCTTAGCGGCTCATGGTCAGATGTTTGATCGTGGCTCATTGCATCTGAATGCTGCGGTGCACAAATTTTCAATGTGTCACTGAATGCAATTCCAGCAAATCGCAGCAATTCGAAGAGAGCTTAAGAGAAGCCTTCCAACATTATCTTTGATCTCAAGAACAATTTGAAATAGCAACTCTTAATTTTAAGTGTTTTTGGAAACTGATACTGCACACAAAACATAACTTATCTAATAAATGTATTTACACCTAAGGTTCGATTATAAGGTTTTGTCATAAAGGTTTTTTGATGCTCTATCAGTTAACACTCTAAACTCAAAATGACCGTGTGAAAAAAGATTCAAGTTTCCATAAAGGAAGAAGGTATCCCTCTAGCTTTTTCCTTGTTTGTAGACATTCTTTACCACAATTTGCCAAGCTGCATACACCCACTTTTACCCATTTCTTCCAATTAAGTCCCTTTTACTGTTGTCCTGTCACCTTTACACTCTTTCACAGTAGTCAGCTTTTCCTATGGCACTTTGCATTGTTCTGCATTTTTACCCTTAATAAAGTTATTGAAATTTGACCCTCAGGTCAAAGTGTAGAGGTCATATTTCCGATTCTCTACGATATGACCTTTGATCCAGGACCCTGGTGGTCTGTATGCGTTCAAATTCAGGTCGGCTATTTCGATCTGGACTGAGGTTCGCCAGTGCTCTGCTTCCACCACCTACATCCTCTTCCTCATCATCGCGATTAAGGAAGGCCAGCTCATTTTCATAGCAGAAAGAATTCGAGCTGGGGACTAGGTACTTGTTTTCCACCATGTCCTTGGCACTGCAGCGGGGGGTGGACGGCACCTCATAAGTTTTGTGAAAGTGAGAGTAATCCACCTTGTACAGGTTCTTCTCCTCAAACAACACAGGCTCAAACCGGTGTCCCCAAAGGATCTCTGAGGCCAAGTAGGAGCTGCGAGCCTGGGTGGTCATGGCGGTTGCTTCAACCATTCCCTCCAAGATGACAACAATCTCAAAGTCTGCGGTCTCCAAGTCCTGTTTGCTGATCCCAAAAAGAGGGCTCTCCTCATCTATCTCATGTAGAATAGTGATAGGTGAAACCAAGAAAATCCTATCCAGGCCTTTGTCAAAGCCCACATTAATGTCTATCTGGTCTAGAGGGATGTATTCCCCCTCGTCAGTTATCCGAGGTTTGATGAGCTGTGCTCTGACGTGGGCCTCAACAATGTGGCTCTTGCGCAGATTCCCTACCCTCCACATTAGACACAGCTTTCCATCCCGCATGGCAATGACGGCATTGTGGCTAAACAAGAGCGTTTGTGCTCGCTTCTTAGGCCTTGCCATCTTGGCCATGATGGCGCCAATCATGAAGCAGTCAATGATGCAGCCAACTATAGACTGAAAGACCACCATAAAGACAGCTACTGGGCACTCTTCAGTCACACAGCGGTAGCCATAACCTATGGTAGACTGTGTTTCAATGGAGAATAGAAAGGCAGCCACAAATCCATTGACCTGTAGAACGCATGGAGTGAAGTTGTCATCTCCAGCTGGGTTGTCCAGATCTCCATGCAGCAAAGCTATAACCCAAAAAGCTAAGCCAAAGGCCAGCCAAGACACAACAAACACAAGAGTAAAGACTACGAGCATCCATCGCCAGCGGATATCAACACACGTTGTGAAGATGTCGGCCATGTAGCGCTGCGACTTGTCGTCCATATTGGCAAACTGCACATTACACTGGCCATTCTTTTTCACAAAGCGGTTGCGGCACTTGCGGCGTGTGTGGATCTTGCCATTGCCAAATCCATTCATACCATGCATGGTAGTGAGGCGCAGACCCTCTTCTTCAGATGACACAATGCTGTAGCGGTTGATTCTTCCCACGCTCATGTTCCTGACGGCACCTCCAGCTGCAGGGTTAGAGTAGAAGGGCAGACCTGGAGTCCCAGTGTGGGATCAAGGCCCCTTCACAGCTTGATCACTAGCTCAGTTGCATGTCAGTGAGTCATTTAGGTGGATGGTTGGTAGCCTTGTGTCTTAATCCAATCCCTGCAGAAAAAAATCAGAAGAGGAGAATATGCCTGAAAATCTGTCTGTTTATTTGTTTGTGTATTTGAAATTAGATATTCATTATTAAAGCTTTTAAATGATACATGTATAACCACTTTTCTGTCCAGAAAATGACAGTGAAATGTGTATTTAAGCCTACAACGACTTGGTTCTTTGCATATATTTATCTGAATGACAATGTTTTTTCAGGACATCATTTCACAGCATTATAAATGTTTTTTATTAAAAACACACACACACAAAAAAACTACACTGACCTTCTGTAAAATTTCAAGTTATCACTAGTTTCTATGTCCACATGTGTCTTAATCAGTGCAGTCAGTCTTGCTAGAGTCCATCTTCTTTTAAGTTTGTAGACTCCCAAATCTATGCTGAATAAATAAAAAACTAAGACTTTCAGTATTGTAGCAATATTGTTTCTGTTGTACTTCCTAGTACAAGCTGTAGTAGTAGTATCCATCTTCCTTTCTCTAAACCTCACGACTCAAAATCCAATTGGTCCTCACTCAAGGGCCCTCATGTCTTTTGATGTTGGCTGGGTAAGTGAGGAGCTGGCCTCACAGCACAGCCACTTCTGTCAACTAGCATTTCCCCTGCTTTTCTCTTGCAAATTATAAAGAAGGTTCACAGTGGAGGCCTTACCCTGCCAGATGTTTATTATTACTTAATGAACAAATTAACTCTTGTATGAGTCACTGCTCCTAATTGTTCTTTTTAATATAATGAGGATGCCTGTTGAATGAGCAGTGTTCAAAAAGTTATGAGAACAGGTCCATTAAAATCAAAAGCCTCACCTGATTTAAATTTTGCGGATCGTAAGACCCTCAAGCCAATTTTGAGGTTGGCTGGGTTTTTTAAGCTCTCTCAGTGAAAGTGTCATTATGTTGCCATATTAACTGGTGCTTCTACAATCGGCACAAGTGTGTCAAAACTGCAATTTTTCTGGCTTGATGAAGGTGCAGCCACATCTAGTGACTGATCCTGGTTGTGAACTAACATTTCGCCAGTGTAGCCACGAGACTCCGGAAATGGGACGCTGGTACACACTACCAGCGTCATGAAAGACATTGACATGAAAGACAAGTTTAAGTTTGCTCTATACAATTTTGAGGTCTGTTGTCAAATCATAGAAACCTGTCTAAGTGATCCGAAAAGAACTTCCAGGAAGAGATCTAAAAATATAAGTAGCACAAGAAGATGCTTTAGATAAGAGATTGGCCAAAGTTTAATCAGGTTTTTGATCACAGCTCATAAGAGAGGCCATTAAGTACTAAGGAATCCTACAAAGTCGTATAAACAGTCTATTATTATAATTCTTCCATTGTTTCTTTTGAGGCCATTGTCCTTTTAGCATTCTGCTTCTGCCAGGGGACTGGATGGGGTAGTACTTGTTTATTTAAACTCCTAAGGGTATGTGTGCCACTGATTCCATGGACATGCAATTCCAGATGCTATATAAAGAGATTAATAAAGACGGGCTCTATTTATTTGGCCCCATTCTGTAAAATTTCCAGGGTTATTAATCATGTTGTGAGGGTGCTGCAGGTTCATATTCTCTTCTCTTGCTGCAGCATACAAGTAGGTAGAGGATTTTCTCCTGGTACAGTGCCCGGTATTGCATAATAATTCTTAATTATATGCTAGAACTTGAGCTTACAACAATATGATGAGGTAGACACATGATAAGTTGATATTTTAAACCTTGCAAGTGTAGAAATGTCAGAGTGGGATAAAATGGATCACAATTAGTAGAGCTGTAAAATGTTTGGCAGCAGATAACCTGGCCACTGAGCTGGATGTCGAGCCTGAGGGTTAAGAAGTTTGACCCATGGGAGTTTACTGAGGTCCCTCTGGGTGCAGACAGCTTTTATCGCCTGGACACATCCGTTGTGTGTCTGCCTTCATGATTTGGACCCTGAAGACTAGACAGTTCAGTCATGTGCAATGTAAAATCCCAGGTGTCCTGCCGTCTGCCTAACACTCGCACTACGCGCTGCTCTCATTCACACTCTTTTCAGGTGTAAGTTCTCTTGATCTCTAGCCCAATTACATCATGCACAGTCTTTAAATTGTCCAATTAGGTAAATTCTTCTGTGTCAGGAAAACAAATATGCCATTTTTACATGTTTGCTTTCGACAAATGTTGCATTACACTCCCAGAAGAGCACAGCTAAAAATAGCAACCTTACGTTTGTTATTTACACACACACACACACACACACACACACACACACACACACACACACACACACACACA